GCGATCCTGGGTCTGTATATCTTGTTCATGTGTTATTCATGCGTACCAATTTCCTTTACTTCTCTTTTGCATAACTGAAGTTTCAGCACAGTGGAAGCGCTTGCCTACTACTAATGAATCACCTCCAGCTCGTGCTTACCATTCCATGACATCTATTGGCTCACGTCATCTGTTATTTGGTGGTTACGATGGAAAAGTGACTTTTGGCGATTTCTGGTGGTTAGTTCCAGAAGGTGATAAACTGATTCGTCAAGTCAGTTTTATATTTTAATAAGGCATTCCACATGTTAGCGAGCCATATGCCCAGTAATCTTAATTGTCATACCACCTAATGTGCCATATGATTGCTATTAACTATTCACACCAATCTAATGGGGTGAGCCTTGGTGAAAAATGGTTGTTCCATTGTGCCGTCGAAGTCACAAGGTCATGTCATGGAAATAGGTTGCCTATAATAGGGTTAGTGCTTCGCATATTGGATGGTCGGTCCTCCATTGATCCCCCAGGGATGTAGCCTTGAAGTGGTGTATCTGGTAGCAGCAAAGCCTTAGGAACCTTTATGGAGAATGTGTCTTTTGAACTGCTGCACTGTTTTAGTTTTTCTTTATTTTAATTCCCTTCTGTTGCCTTGTGCATCATTGCTCTTTTGAGTAATTATTATCTCGTATGAATGTCTAGGATATTTAAACCTTAGTATCATGACATCATAGTTGTGGAGAGACTTCGATGTATTTTGGAGATCTATTATTGTAGAATATACCATTTAGTACATCTTATATTTTGCAAAACTTGCATCTCGTGATGTAGAACTGGCATGAGCTGCTTTTACTTTTTTGCCAATACTTGAAGAATCATAGTGGAGACATAAATTGTAAATGGGAACTAACCGCTAAGGTTTAATTCCCTTTTGTTCTCCTTGCAGGGGATCCCATTGCAAAGCGACTGACAGCCTCTCCTCCTAGAAATTTTCGTGAAGATCAGGGTTCCATAGTGTCAAATGATAGCGACCTATCAGCAGTAGAGGTATTGGCGTCATGAACTGATATAGCTTCCTCTGCAAGACTGATATGGCTTCTGAAATTATCTCTTGATGCTTGCATCTCCATCTTGAGGCCTGCTGCTTCACATTGTTGGTTGTGTTCTGTTGGTATGAATGTATCCAAAAATGATTTGTGTGATGGTGCATGATGAAAATTTTGTAGTTTTGCAATTAGCAGCATAGATTCAATCTCTTCATTTACTTTCACTCTCAGTATCTTGATTCTATTCTTGTAAGCATGTAGTTCAGAATTGTGCCTTGCTTTAATAGGAAAGGGAGAAGGAAGAAGATTCAATTTCAGAGCTGCAGAAGAGATTAGAGATTTCTGTCTCACTATCTAATGCGGGGCGGGAAATTATAGATGTGTCAGAGGACAAGGAATTTTGTGAACTGGCTTCAAGAATCACTGGAGATAAGATTTCAAGTGGTGGAAAGGTTTAACTTCTTCCATATCTAATACCTACCATACACTTCATCAGCATTTCATTCGGCATTTTAATTCCATGTCAACCGGCAGAAATTGAACATTGACATTATTCTTATTTCCTAAGGATGCAATTGGGGTTCTTCGTGACCACTGGAAGACAGTGGACCCCAAGGCCATGACACTCAAGGAGCTTGGTCCTTTGCTTCATGATTACCAGCGCTTGATCACGCACCATATGTAAGACTGGCCCTTTATCTCGATTATCATCTATAATGAAATGTTGTACACAGTTCCTTGAGGTTTAATTTAATGTTTGCAAAAACCAATACATGTACTCCTTGCATGCATAAAAAATTGAGTTGAATCTTCTATGATGAACAAATTTGTGAACTGATGGAACCTTTTAGAAGCATTTTTGTTGCTCCATAGATTTGGTTTTGCCTTCATGACATCTTTGACTTCCCATTTAATTTCAATATCACAATATGAGTCTTGCCATATATCAGATAAATTCATTTACTCGTTGTTCTACAAATAAATGAATGATGGTTTTCCTTATGGAATGAGTGTATCCAACAAGAGGATTTGCATGCTTTCAGTTTTGTGACTTAAAATTACAGACTAAGTTTCCAATGAAGTATACTGGGTTTTGCACCGATGTAATAGATTTTATCATTCACAATACCATCATCCCAAGTCTAACATGGAAATCTAGACAATCACAGAAATGATAATGAATCCATTATCTGTCCATTGCTGATTGGCGTATCATATTGTTTTCTGGATTGTGATTATAGCGGTTAATGCACTACTGGCCAAATGGTGAAGATATCGTGTTTTTCATTTGGGTTCTCAAATTATTCTTGTTATCTTCTCATGTTCTTTTTATTTGTCCATGTAATGGTCTTCTTGTTGGCAATTGGCTCTCTGTTGCAGAGAAAAAAGTGGATCTGATGTACAATCGATTGAGACTGGTCTGCTGGGGAAGGAGGCATATCGATTTTACCATTTGAGGAATGCAACTCAGGTACTAATGATGCATGGCTTTGCCTTCCAGCTCTGTTTTTTCTGTTCTGCAAATCAAATCATGAAAGTTTTAAAGATTTGGTATGTTCTTTCAATAAAGCGTTTGTCTGGTTTATTCAAGAGGTTAGCAAGTGATGCTAGTTTCGACTTTCATGGATTTTTATAGAAAATGAAAGGTCAGCATTAGCAAACCAATTCTCAGATTCAATGAATAAGATCATGGTGTATATAGCTATTACATTCAGCATCTGTTGGTGATGTATGAACTTGTATCCTCAAATGTACTCGAAATAGTTTTTGATTTATGGTGTATATAGCAATTACATTCAGCATCTGTTGGTGATGTATGAACTTGTATCCTCAAATGTACTTGAAATAGTTTTTGATTTATTCCGTGTATTCACGTGCTATTTTCAGTTGCTAGATATGGCTTAGTTTCTTGATTTTGTTTGTGTACATAGCTGTCTACCAAAGGGCTTTTACTTGCGGAACTGTTTATTTCTGAGAAGTCACGTAATTTATGAGTGTTAGTCTTTTCAGCATCCACTTTGTTATATTAAATCTCTCTTTTTGATGGTTTGTGTTGCCTTCAGTTGCGTATGGATGATATTCCAAAATTGCTGGCAGAGTACCAGAAACTCCTACCGGGCTGAACGTGATCTGCAGATTTTGCGAGACAAAAAATTACTCACAAGCATGCTCATCAAAGAGTTTGTCCATCTTCATATTGTGAAGAAAAAAGTTTGCATAGTCGATATGTGTGAGCTACAGGGGATTGATACTGTTCTACAATGCCTATACATGGGTTCATTAGTTGTGTACTGAAGACATTTTCCAACACCAGCTACTTCTGGTCAAAAAAACAAAAAAAAAATGGCTGCTTAAGTAAGATTTAACTTTTTGGTCTCAGTCTTCTGCTACGCCTTTTTATGTCGAGCATGTCGTAGTGCCTCAGAATTTGGCTCAGTAAATTTTTTTTATCTTACAGTTCCTTAATAATGCTTTGGGAATACCCGTTTCGTTTCTTCTTTCCTTTTTCACTGACCGTGAGATAACTTGAGACTTATCATCTTCTCCTTCGAGCGATGGAGAGATTTGAGGTGACGGTGAAGCCCTGGCTTAGGTGTTTCCAGATAATTTGATTGCAGGCACTATCCCGACACACTGATCAAGTCACAGTGCCAGTTGAGGCAGCAGTTTTTGGATAGGTTGGTGGATGAGGCAAGTGGTTGCATGATGTCAAGCAAAGGAGGTCGATATGGTGGAATCTACGAGAATTGGTTGCTGTGTAATTACTAATGATGGACTATGTCGATGATGACGAAAACAAAATTGTGCTTGGCAATGGCTTCAGCATCAGTCGATGTTGGAACTTGCAGAAGTGGTTGGCACTATCTGAGAGGCTTTTTCTAATGTGCTTCGGTTGCCTCTGATACTGAAGACGAGTTCAAAGCATCGCGGCATGCCTCCGGCTGAATGTAATTTAAAGCATGCCTCTCCAGATACTCCAGGATACTGTTCAGCACATTAGTTATCAGTTTTAGACAGGAGGGGGTAACTGAGCCAGGGAGTGATTTGGGGCCAGGAAATAAAAAGCTAATTCATTTTGTTAATGGTAAGTATTGATGGTTAATGCAGAACTGAAGGGAATGATAAGAGTTTAATAAGAATTGTCCAGCAAGGCAACTTAAGCACATAGAAGGTGACAAAATGGCCAATAATATCATGACATAAAGACTTGAAATCATCTAATCATTCCAGAGCGGTCAACGCAGTAGATGCTAGAGCAAAAACCTGTTACATGTTGATGAACCAGAAGGGATTTTTGGTCTATGCTTCAATGTGCACATGCTGCTTCTGATGTCCTTTCCCTGGATTCGCTTCTTCTCTGGTTCTCCGACCATGCGTGCAATGCAATGCTCATTGATGAGCTTCTCAAGGAAAAGTACCATGCAATGCTCAATGCTCAATGCTCAATGATCAATGATGAGCTTCTCAAGGAAAACTGCAATGCAATGCTCAATGCGATGCTCGACGATTAGCAATGTGATCCACAATTAACGAGCTGTGGCCACCGATCAAACCTAAGTTTCTTTGAGCATGGTTTAATTTTCGTCTGTTGGCAATCTGTATTCGATTTTTTAAGACAAGCTTGGAAAGGATAATTGGGAAGAGGAGTTATGTTTTTCTGTCAAACTCCGATGTACAGTTGTGCTTCCGTTTTCCCGTGTCGCTCTTTAATTGTCTCTAAACTTTTCTCATGGAGTCAAATAACGTCCGTCAAACTAAAAGCAAATCGAAGATGCCTTTTGGCCGGAGCATATCTTTTTCTTTTTTTCCAACCATGCACTGCTTCTTTCCCTCCTCAAAATATCTTACTGAAAATCCCGAGCAAGGGACCCAAATTCAAGTATCTCATTTTTGGTGCGAAGACGATTTTTCTTCAAAGAAGTTGCCATGAACATGTTTGCCAAAAGAAAGTAGAGCATGTACTACACAGCTGGGATGTTTCCCTTCTTTTCAATACTAGTGAACTTCCAAAGTAGAGTGTCTCAATAAGAATGAAAGAACCTTCTAATGCAGAAGTTCACACTTATTGTGATGTTTCGTCTTTGCAGAGAACAGAGTCTCGTTTTCAGTACAGTCCTCATCATCTCCTTTGGAAGTTGAGGTATCTGATGCCATAGGCGAAGACGAAGAAGAAGAGCAGAACCCAACCAATGTGAGCCACCGCAACAACTCCAAGGAAATCGTAGTCGAAACCTTTGGTCTGTTTGAGGTAGTCCTTCACCGACATGGTTCCTTCTTCAGGAACCAAGACTTGATTTTCTTTGTCGCCTATTTGAGATGTCACGAGTCCATAGATTGTCCAGGCCACTGGCGATGCCCAATAGTACCACCTCCACCACACCGGAATGAGCTGCAATGATCAAGTAAGAAGAAGACATCAGCTATCAAAAGTCATGAGCAAACTCGAACACTTCAATGTATTGTGAGTAAGAACTTGGTTGGCATGAAGTCAAATTATGTACCCCATTGAGTGATCTAAGAATGATGAAAATGTTGGCTCTAAGTGTTGTTCAGATTCATATTTCTAAGTCATTCCGGCTAATTATGTCATGCATATACACCCACAATTTTTCTTGTTTTCTTCATGCTAGTAATGGGAGCATTCGGTTGGTGTTCAGATACAGCATACATAAATGATGCGTAATTCCCTTGCGATCTGTGAGTATACATACCATTCTGGGGATGAGGAAGCCAGAGAACAGGTTCCAGAAGCTAAGAAAGAAGGACATGACGATTGCCGCAATTTGGTGATTTGGGGTGAGGGCAACAGTCATCATACCATACAACGTGAAATAGATGAAGCACATTAGAATGTAGTAGTAGAACCACAGGAACTTGTCAACTCTCCAGTGAAATCCGATCATGGAATAAAGGAGGAGACTGTAGACCAAAGTTTGGATAGCCACGTATATTGCCTCTATGGCTACCTGCAATGCATTGGAACAATATTACGCAAATGAAAATAAATTAAGGGATAGTTTATTTGTTAACAATCCATCGAGTTAAAAATGTGTAGTTCTTATACCTGTGCGAATGCATAAGGCAAAGCTGAGTACATTCCTGCTGCTCTTTCTCGGTAAAAAACTGTTCTCTCTATGGCAACGATTGGCTGAACTGATGAAGTGTTGGTGGCACCCAGGAAAAGAACAGCCGAATACATAGCTCCCAAAAGATTCAATAAGTCTTGCTCTTTATATCTGTTAACCAAAAGGAAAAAACAAAGGTAAATGGAAAGGAAAGGAAAGGAAAAGAAAATTATTTTTGAATCGTGATCTGAAAAATTCAAACTGGCTCAAGAATCATCTATTCCCTTGGCTTTAGGAAGCGTATTGAACATGTCGTAGAACAACGTGTCAGGGAAAAGGAGAGTAAAAAGATGCGAGCTTACGTTTGGTTGCCCTTATTCCAAAAGATTAGTCCGAACATGACCCCAACAACCATTGTCATGAAGTATCGGATTGCATTATACTGAGGGTTCCTCCAGTAGGACCAGTGCTGCTTCCAGAAGCAAGCCTTGCATTGCGTCACGAAGGTTTGAGAATACTTAGTTGGGAAGTAAAGGTCTTTGGATCCGGGTTCTGGAGTGCTCAACTGTTTGATGAGTTCCTCATTGTTCCTAGTGAATAGTCCCAATATTTCAATCTAGAGTTATTAAGGGAAAAAAAGGGTCACATGAAAGAACTATGTAGTTGCTTTAAAGTGACATACTTGTAAAGTTCAGAGTTGGCAAAAATCTCTGCAAAATCTACTCCAAGTTGAGCTTCGGCAGCCGTAGAAGAGACGTCGAGCATCCATGTTGCTGGATTATAACCAATTTTGTTCCTGGGAACACCTGGGATAGCCTGTAAAAATCATATAAATCTTAGAGCTATGTACAGATTTGAGCAATCAATGTACAACTTTGGGACCAATGGTACATCAGGCTCAAAATGATCAGAAGCTTCCGATCCAATTCTTGAAGTATGATCAAGACCCACCTCAAAATACTCCACGAGCTTGTGTGAGTGTTGACCAAGGGGTCCAGCGTAAATAACTTGTCCTCCTCTTTTCATCAAGAACAACTGAAAATAGGAAAAACACAAAGCAAGCTTAGATCACTAAGAAAAGGGAGAAAAAGGTCATCCGATATTAATCTAATTGTAGTTATATATGAGGTACCTCATCAAAAGCTTCAAAAATGTCTATGCTTGGTTGGTGAATTGTGCAAACAACAGTTCTCCCTGTATCAACCGTGTTTCTTACGGTACGCATCACGATGGCAGCGGCTCGAGCATCAAGGCCAGATGTTGGCTCATCCATGAAGATGATGGAGGGATTGGCCACAAGTTCCACGGCAATCGTGAGTCTCTTTCGTTGCTCGGTTGAGAGGCCATCTACTCCTGGCAGTCCAACTCGCGAGTTCCTAAGAGTATTTAGCTCAACCAATTCCATGATTTCTTCAACAAATTGCTGAAGGGGAATAAAGGCATTACAGGATGTTAGCGTACGTGTTGAAAGAAACTTAATTGTGGAGTAAGAAATATAATTCATTCAACTCTAACAAAAGAAAATTACGGTTTTGGAATGCTACATAGATCAAAAATCTTTCAGGAGCTTCGGAAATCACAATATGTGGGCATAGACTGAACTTAGGAGGCAATGCAAATTCAGATGACAAGAATGAAAAACATGCCTGCCGGGTTTCCTTCTTCACATCCTTAGGGAGACGCAACCATGCTGAGTACACCAGTGATTCGTAGACTGTGACATTCGGTGAATGGATGTCGTTTTGCTCGCAGTAACCACTGACCCGAGCAAAAGTTTCTTGGTTCTTTGGGTAGCCAGATATACTTATGCTTCCTTCAATATAGCCTCCAGTCTTCCTTCCTGCTAAAACGTCCATCAAAGTGGTCTTCCCAGCACCGCTAACACCAACTAGTGCTGTCAAAACTCCCGGCCTAAATGCCCCACTAACATCCCTTAACAATTGAAGACGACTCTCTTCAATTCCTTGGCTCTTCATTTCCTGATTAGTCCAAATAATAATTAGCAACTATGCATGGTTATGAACAAATATTGAACTTCAATTAATCTTTCTGCATGAAGAAAAGCCAAAAAAACAATTATTACAGTCGCACGAGGAAGAGACTTACGGCGGGCATATCCACATAGTAATTCACATGACTAAATGCCAGCGACAAGGGCTGAAATGGCAAAACCATTCCTCTTTTAGCATTCATTTGCGCTGGAGCACCAACGCCAGACTTAGCATCGTCCGAAGTGTTCATCACGGCCATATCTATGCCTGCAAATTGCTAAAGAGGTCAGCGCAGAAAAAGTGATCTCTTTATCACGTGTTGCTTCCTGACAGTTTGAGCACATATGGCTTACGCATCATAAGAAAACACCTACTGGTGTTAGTTTAACTTCATGTCAATTTGACGCTCACATAAAATAGTTGCTAATTGAGGAAAAGTCTGAGCTTATTTATAAGGACATGGTATGGTGAGTTCTCATACCTTCAAAGAAGGTGGTTGTAGATGCTGAAGTCATATCTGAAGGCACAATCTTATTCTGTCCCTTTGAAGTAGACTGCTTCTTATCCTTGTTCTCATCATCTTCATCCAAAGTAATTGATTTGGAATCTCCCAGAGCTGCGTGATTGCAGTTTGACAGCGAATTTCAGAGTTGGACAATCATGGATGCATAGTTGAAGTCGATGTTAGGAATGCAGTGGAGCTTACGATTCAAGTAAGTGAGAGCCAGGATGAAGCAAACGTTGAAAAGAAGAGAAAAGCCAAGGAGTGCCCCAATGCAAATCCAATACCAGTAGTCCTCGACGAACATTCCTCTGTACTTCAGAAGAACTCTCCCGATTGTTGGTTCAGAAATTTTTTCAGTAGTGGGCTAAAATGGACAAATTTAATTGATATGAGAAGTGAAAATTGAAGCATTGTTGTTCAATAGATGAGAAGACCGACATGAATAAATTATGAAAGTATCTTACAATGCTCCATCTCTCGTCAAGGAATTCATTTATGACTAAGGCATTCTGCCCGTACATCATCGGAGAAACATAATAGCCCCATATCATCCATGGCTGTATGTCATCTACAGGGCAAGAGGGAAATAGTATACCAGTTTTAGCAGCTAGAGGTCATAACATGCTCCTTGTGAATGAGAAAAATAAGACGACAGAGATGTATTGTGGACGCTGAAGTGTTCGGTAAAATCGGATAACTTACCTTTGGCGACGATGAATCCACCAAGGACAAAAACGAGAAGCAATGTGAAGGTACCGAGAGTATTTGCTACCACTTGTGTCCTTCCAAGCACAGCAATAAACCGGAAGAGCGCAAGAGCCATCTGGTGCACACCAAAGAATGCCAGTAGTTGACGGAAAAACCTGAAAAATTGTGAACAAGTTTGAATCAAGATTGATGTAGTAAAAAAATTGGTTCATCTGAGATAACGTCATGCAAGAAACTTCAGAATTCGAGCATTGCTCATCGCTTTTAAAAACTAGGAGAGGGTACTAAACTCACCTACTAGCTGATGGGGCAAAACCAATGGGGTAGTATGTCAGAATTATCCATATTGCGGACTCCATCAACGAAATCGGAATCCGAAGAAGCCAAATCGGTAAGCCAAAAGCCCAAGCAGGATAAAACAAGAAATCCCTTTGCTTGAAAAATACCGGAAGCCTAAAGATGGTCATTGCGAGCTCCGCCATCCCATTGAACATGACATTAATGAGACTGAAGAATAGTGCACCGTAGAATTTCCCACCACCCTTGACTGTACCGGGCTTCATTTCCGATCTTATGAACACTGTCATGGCAATTATTGACATGATGGTGATTTGGACCGTCTTGAATATATACAAGAAAGCGCTGCGCTTCATTAGCAGCCACTCTCTCGCGAAGCATGCCTTAAAGAGTTCCCAATTCGAGAGTCCATACTTTTCCTTCACTAGTGCAGCCGGATGGGCTTTAGTCCTATCAAAAGGAACCGCAATCTCCTGATGGAGTTTCTGACCGATATGAAAGTTACAGAAGTGGTTGACAAAATCGGGTACACTGACGTATCTGTGGGGCTCGTTCTTCTTGCACCAATACTGTCCTTGGTCTTTCTTGGAAGTCACTTCTTGCAAGAAATCGGCTATGCCTTTCCTTTCTGGGCATCTGAAGCCGACGCTTTTGAAAAACTCGAGCACGTTTTCTCTTGGCCCTTGGTAAACAATCTGTCCTTCTGAAAGTAAGATGATATCATCAAAAAGTTCGAATGTTTCGGGAGCCGGTTGCAGAAGGGAAATTATCATGGTGACATCCATGATGTGAACCATCTGTCTCATGAACCTAACAATTTGGAAGGTAGTAGAACTGTCCAGCCCGGTTGATATCTCATCCATGAAGAGAGCTTTGGCTGGTCCAACAAGCATTTCCCCTGCCAATTGCAAGCTCATGTGTTATTCCCAGCTAAGTTAAGAATGGCAAGAATAAACCAGAGCCAAGTTTTCCCAAAAGAAAATTTAGTCACTTAGGTTTCTGTTTCACATACCGGTGGTAACGCGCTTCTTCTGGCCCCCTGATATGCCTCTTCTCATGTCATCACCCACCATAATGTCAGCACAGATATCCAATCCGAGAATCTGTTGGTTTTATTGAAACATGAGTATGAATTCTTTAAATAACGAAAAAGGTCAGATAGCAACTACGAGATCGAGCGCAAACCTTGAGAACATAATCCGTCACGATACTCATTTCTTGGCCTGCCACTGCAGTGGCTTTCATGAAGGCATCTATTTCAGGATCTGGTTTAATTCCTGATTCCTTCTCTCTTCTCGACAGCTCGGCAAGCATTTCATATCTCATTCCAACTCCTAAGCAACGGCCCGAGAAATCTAGCGTCTCTCTCACCGTCATCTCTCCATGGTGAAGATCATGTTGGCTAATGTAAGCGCATGTTCTTTGGGGAACGAATTCTGACAGTTCATGACCGCAGTAAGTGACTTTTCCAGATATCTGAACATGTTAGTATGATGAAGTAACTTTAGATTCTGAGTTTGACTACTTATGTAACAAAATATTCAACAGTGAATTCTGAAACGTACTGTAAATAGTTGCCAAAACAAGAGCAAGCTCCATGAGGGGAAGCAATTGTACGTTAAATTGAGATGGGACATAATATCTGTACCCTTAACCGAACTAAGACTAATGCGAATGTTAAATGACGGCAAAAGTGGTGTAAGCTCTGCTTGTTATTTGTCAGATATCAGATGAATTGAAATATATACTTCTCTTTAGCTAGGTAGTTAACAATATCAAAGTGATCATCCAATATAAACACACCCTTAGGTCCTTGTCGGGCTTCGCCGAAAGTGCTTGTAGCAAGGTGGTTTTCCCCGATCCAGGTGGTCCCAGGAGCAATGTCATTCTGAAATAGGAAAGCTCTCATAGGTTAAAAACCAAGAGAAAAGCCTCAACTTACATAATGAAAATCATCCATTTTGTCAAGTGTCTTTGGATGAGCCTAAGAAAATAAATTCATAATGTCGCATCTAGAGATTGAATGTAGAAACACGCATACTACGTTCTCCTTTGGGTAAAGAATGCATCCAACCTAAAATAAGTTTTGTAAATTGCGAGAACTATACCTTGATGGTTTTACAATCCCGCTCACGTCGTGCAGTATCTTAACTTCTCTCTTGTTGGATGGGAGTAGCTTAACCATGCTAAGAACTCCCTGTTCATCACATCAAGGTGCAGCTTCATATCAGCACAAGGTTTCCACTAAAATGTGGCCGTTGCATGTTCGATAACCGATATAAATTTAGAATGTGGGGCCAAAATTGCAGAGAACTATGGAAAAAAACGGAGGCAAAAAGGATGGAGACATGGAAGTTAATAATGAATCGAGTGACACTAGGAAACAACAAATTTAATCCTTGCCCAATCAGTTAAAAAGTGAAGGTAGGAGAAAAAGAAATGGTATGAGCATACCTCTATAGCATTCAAGGAAGAATTCAGCAGAGTAGGAAGTGCCCGGGTGCCAACATAGGCATCTCCTTCCACTGATAAATGCTCGAAGCGGACTTCGATTTTGGGGATTTCAATCCCAACCCTGTTATAAACATCAGAATCAACCTAAGAATAAGAAAATCAACTCGAAATCTTCAGCTCGGTACCATTCCATGATACCCGAAAACGCCTTCAAAGCGAACCTTTATTTCAAGACGTTAGTCATTGAATGAGTCTACTAATACCATAGAGATCATCAGGATACTAGAGGGAGAGATTATAAGGTGCTGTGCTCACTGACCTGTCAGTCCTCTCTCTCAGCCTGAGAAGGAACCTCTCATTGTCCTCTTCAACGATCTTCAATATGCTCTCCATGAGATGCTGCTTGTCATGTGTCCCAAGGTTCGTGACATCGACCTCTTCGTACCCGACTCTCCCGTCATCCAACGCCTGCTTCAGCATCCCCTTCCTCAGCCGGTCGTACGTTGGGAGCCGCTCGATCGCCGCCCACTTCAGCTCCTCCTCGTCATCCTCCCTCCCGCTCTTCTGGAACACGTCGCCCTGTGTGTTCCACACCTCACGAATGCTTGCCGAGGCCCAGCTCTTGCCGCTTGCCGAGAGGCTCATCCTCCGGCTCATCGAGCGGCTGCTGCTGAGCGACCTCTGGCTCGTCGTCCGCGCAAGGTCATTCTCGGCAAATGCCGCCGCCATTTGCCACGTGAACTCCTGTCACTTAACACGTATTCGTTTCGCTTCCTTTGGTGAAGAAATGGCGGTCTTGAAGGGTTAATGTTAGTGCATACAGTTAAGTGACATTTGAAGAGATTTTCTTCAATGGTGAGATGTTTGTGGAATGTATTGTGGCATCATTGGCTGTTTATAAATAAGGTTTGTGATTGAGGAAGAGTGTGGGAGCAGAGACAGGAATGAGAATTTGCAGAGGTGGTGTCATAGCAAGGACTAAACGGATGATTCTGATTTTTGTCAACTACATGATCATGTTGGAGATTATTAGTATTCGAAGAATGCCTGATCGTTCTTTACGAGGCATTGAACAAAGGATGGTCAGACAGGACAAGAAACAAAGATCAGCATCATCAGATATTCATCGGCAATCACAATACTGTTTGTCTTTGCACTTGTAAAATGCAATTACATGTTTATTCGGATTCTTGGACTTTTGAATCGATAGAAGTTAACAGTTCAGAGTCCACCGTTATTGGAGTGCCAGTGCTTTGTAAGGAAACTGCAGCCACATTACTGGAATCTGTTTATTTGGAAAAAGGAATTTTCTTCAGAAAAAAAGAGTATGAGCAGATGTTGAAATAATTTGAAACTCGTCGTCTGATCATGAACCGGACCGAGCTTGACTTTATCTTACTCGAGTAGTCACCGCAGATTGAAAAGATGTAATAATCAAATTCAGACTCCAATATTAATCTGAACTATGCAAGCCTAGCCTACAGTTAAAAAGTAATAAAGCAGAGCTATTGCTAGGAAGAACCCAGATTAAAAAAGATTGTGAATTACTCAAATTCATTTTAAATCTTCAGGTAAACACTTCCAACATCGTCCGTTTTTTCATTATGCAGATTAAATCGAAAAAGCGTATTCAAGTTGTTGATAATATAGAGGAGTTTTTTATCCAAATATTACATCCCAAATTGAGCCGAGTCTTCTTGTGGAACTTGAGGTCTGACCAAGTTTAATATATGATTACCTATGCCGAGAAAACAAAAAAAACCGAACAAGAAGCTACTCGAAAAATCGACCCGACTCGTCAATCATCGTCCTCAGCTCGCGATCCAACTTGTCACAATGCTGCTAGTTGCTAGGGGAGTTTAGGGGATGCGCAGATCATGTGGCTTGTTGATCTGATCAAATACCAACACCATCAAATTGAATGAATAATCTCATGAGCTTAAACCCATGAGATGAGAACTGCCGCGACTTCTCTCAGTTTCAATTTGCAGTTGTTAAACTCATCAAAAGAACTGCAAACTGCAAAATTTTGCAGTCATGGGATAGAAAACCTAGCGCAGAAGATGCCACCAACATGATGCAAATAAATGGAAGTTTCATACAGAAAGATGAAACCACCGAATACCTTTAAACTAACCTATTATGTATTCATTGATCTCTGCTAAACTTCTACAGCGAGATAACAAACCAGAGAGGTTTCTTTTAAAGATTGCGAATGTTTATGATGCAGAAGTGCAAACTCTAATCTGATAATGAGGAGACTTTTCATTTCCCCATCCTACCAAGATGGAGTCAAACAGAAAAGTTTCTACAAAATTCATACATATTTTTCATAACTTGTTATTTAGCAAGCTGAATCTACGCCATTCGCTCGAGTTCGACGCATTTGCTTACACGCAAATCTCTATACATTAAACTGGGTAGATTGACAATCTGTTGATTATACACGAGAGAGAGTGGCTTTCAATGCTACTCTCTCGTCTACACGCACTCTCACTTTCAAGCATCTTTGTTCTTCTTTTTTTTCGACTTTTAATCTTCTCCCAATCAGCCAATCACGCATTTGTCTGTGAACTTGTCTTTTTTTATTTATTAATAATCTGGGTATTTTGAAAAATAATATAAGCCCTTCTAAATTTTTTTGTCTCATCATATAGTTTACATCTGGAGCATTTTAAATATACACTTTGTGCAATAAAATTTCATGAGCCCTACCCTTTACATAAAATATAGCATGCAAAGGATGTAAATTGTAGGCGAAAATTATCCAAAAAGTCATAAACTTACTGCAAATTTATCAATTCAATTTTAAACCTCTCAATTTTACTAATTTTTTTTGTCAAAATTTTTTTTCAATTGAGTCATAAACATTTTCAGCTTTTGCCAATTGAGTCTATCCGACCAATTTTGGCTGGAATTGCTGACGTGGACCCCAGCCATCCTACGTGACATGGCCAGAGTTGGGCTCGCCTGAGCGAGACTCACCATCAGCTAGGCGAGGACTTGCGTCGCCAAATCTGGCAAGGGCGGCACCTAGGCCAAGGTGTCGCCTCCCCTCTCCTGATCTGGTTGGGGGAGCCCTCGCTAGGGCTCGCCCTCACCCGATCAGGTCTCACCTGTGGTGAGCAACGGTGACCCTCGCCCAGGCAAGGTTAGCCCGCCCGGCAGTAAAAGGAAGAAGAAGAAACAATCATAAAAAAATTGAAAAAGTATTAAAATATTATTAAAAATTATCTACATCAGCGCTAATCATGTCGCGTAGGATGGTTGATGCCCACATTAGTAATTTTCGGCCAATTTTGGTCGGATAGACTTAATTGGCAAAATTGAAATGTTTAGAACTGAACTGATAAAACTGCAATAAGAATATGACTTTTTGGACAATTTTCCCTAAATTAAAACAGGATGGGGCAGAGTATATGTCTATGATGACAAAGATGCAAAGTTGGAAAAATTATTAAAAAAAAAATCCTAAACTTATTGTACTTGTGTCAATTTAACTTTAAACCTTTAATTTAGTCAATTCAATCCTAAGCATTTTGACAATTTGTCAATTCAATCCTAAACCTTCTGACTATTTATCAATTTAGTGACATACTTTCTGATCATTTGCCAATTAAGTCATTTATTCATTGGACTATGCTAAAATTTATAGGTTGAATTGCTCCAATCATGAGATCGTGGTCCGCTATAACGTGTGTGATCATCTAGTCCGTATGTTAAAATGGGAAGGTTAATAATTGGTTCACCTACTCTTTTATTCCCATTTTCAAGGTTTTTTTCATCACTTTTAGTTAAATTTTTTCTCTTGCTTTATGCAGTTGCCTAAAAATAAATCTTTATATGTGCTTGAAAAGAAATGATTGACATGGCAAACATGGTACAACGTAATGCATTACATGAGAATATACGTTGATCCAGTCACGTGTTTCGATTCATGTTAATATTACAATTTATTGTTCATTCTTGACGTGAAATTAACAAAATATGTATGTTATGAAAATCTGATGTATTGATCCTATGTTCATTGACGTATTCTAAACTCATCAGATAAAGAAAAGTGTTCTTTTTTTCAGTCTTTACCAGCTTCGTCCGACATTTAATTTGTGAATTTAAATGAGTAGTCTCTAACTTTTCGCCAATGTCTAAATTATTCTAAAATTCTAGGCTAATACACATAAAAAGCACGTATAAATGATACAAAATATTGAACATATTCCATACAAAAACAACATAATCGGAATACATTATAATTCTATCATCTTATCCTTTCTAATTGCTCACTAAATATTGTTTATATCATCACTATTAATCTTAGAAAAAGTTTGTATGTAATAATCATACGCACGGGTTTATGACTATAGTGTACAAGAATATAAGAGTCCACAGAATATTGACTTAAATATTTCCTGTATTTCCCTCCTTTTTTTTTTTTTCTTTTTTGGCTCCTCCGACGAACTCCAAAGAAATTTCCTGGGTACACATCTGCTGCTGCTGCTGCGATGTGAGGTCATAGTGATACAGCATGTACACATTCAACCAATACTGTACAAAAATTACAATCCCCCCAAAAGGCTCTTGGAAAAACCGTGGCTCACAATTGCCTCCGACAACTCCAGAAGATAAAAACTCTTCTTGAATTTAGAGAGGAGGAAAAGAAATAACACAGGCAGTTCCGATTCGCCCGCCACGACCATACCCCACTCTCTGTCATTGTTAGTCGAGAAAATGGGCAGCCGCTACATCAGGGGACTCCACGACTTGAGCTGCTTCGGCAATTCTGAGAGCCATGGTGGCTCTGTAGGCAGCCAAGTCAGCGTTTCCCATGAGCGACTGAGCCCTCTGACGTTTCACCATCGCGAGTTCCAAGGATCTGTTAGCTGATGCTTGAGCTTCCTCGACTTTCCGCAAGGCGCTCTGTTCCTCCAGCGCATCTCTTTCTGCTGCCAATGCTGAAAAGAGATGGATAATAAGCCAAAACTCCAAAACCGAGGGTCGATTTTTCAAATAACTTCGTTCATGCCACATAGAAACTGACCAAACATTGCACAGACGGAACATCCATTCACACCTATAATCTACCTACAACTGTACATGTATCATTCCAATTACCCAGTTAAGAGGGTGACGTTTACCTTGCAAGAGACCCGGTTGCTTGCCTCGTCCGTGCTGGCTTCCCTGCCTTTTAAATGATCTCCGCTTACGCAGGGCAGGCTTGGGAACCAGGGGAGCTTTTCTCGATTGATGACCCTGTAACAACATTTGTTTATGTTGAGGAGAACCGTTTGAAGCAGAAGAAATGAACCTCACAAAATCAAACTCGCACTCGCATTCACAGCGCGTAATATGAATGCACTTTTTTCATTCAACCATAAATGCACACCAGACCATTTTCTTAAATGACAACAAGTAAGGTGCTAACGTAAGATCCAAAGCTCTTCTACATCCAAATCATACTTCAAAAGAATTCCAAACCCAGAGAGCAAAAATCACTACAAGTAGGAAGTGGATTATCTTAAAAAGAACACTTAAGAGATACAAGAGAGTGATACTATAAAGTTAGATGATAGTAACCCATTTTCTGAAAAGAGGATTTCAAGAAGGAAAAGACTAATGGCAAGAAAAGCATTAATCCGAAAATATTTTCTGAAAGACCATCTCTCAAATAAAAGGATTAATAAAACTGCTCAGCTGCAAAGAAAGTATACACATTTTACTTTCAATGAGTGCACATCCTTACCAGAAAGGGGAACACAAAATACCAATCCACCCTATCAAGCATGTTAACAGTGCGTTGGTCATCACTCAAAAGAAAATATGGCAGCACAAAGGTCCATAAGCATTAATTTACCTGAAATACTCTGACCAATGCCATTCGTCTCTGCTTCCGTTTCTTCATCCAATAACGGTACACAGCTTCCACAACATCCTTTCTCTCTATGTCCAGTCTAAGATCAGGGTCTGGTTTCTCATTCAAGAAATCATGAGGATTGCAATAGAAAGCCTTCTCAAATGCATCAATCATAAGCTCGAAGGTGTCCTCTGACACACGCTCAGGTGGATCATTTTCAGCAAAGAACTCGTTATTGAATTTATGAAGCCACTCCTCATCTTCACAGTCCATGTCATAACTTGCAGTCTTACTGGCCATGGCTCTTGACACCTCATCAGCACTCAAGGTAATATAAAATTCTGGTCTTGTAAAGGGTACAGAATTTTCTTCTTCATATCCTAATACTTCATATACCCCCGGAACAGGTATTATCTTAACAGGAGGAGCCTTAGGAGATACAACCTGCTTATTTCGGTCAAAACATTCCTTGTAAAGATCCTTAAATTTCAACCAATCATCTCGGTCAGGAAATTCCAGTTTCCAATCACCATCCCCCGCCCAAACCATTGCATGGGTGAAACGGTTGGAGAAACAAGGCTTCATAGCTTCTTGTGCCTTGTGGGCATATCTTATCAGTCCCCCTCTTTTGACAACAAGAGACCACTCTCCAGAGTCTAAAAGCTCCAACATAACATTTCCACCTTCTTCCCTGAAACACTTGTCTGAATCAGTAATCAGTACATTTGCATTACAGGATAATATATCTGTATCCGGTTGAAGTCTGGTCGTAGTAGCACTCATCTCATCAATATTTCCAGCAGACCTAGTCCGAACAGATCTTCTCTTGTTGCCAGATATTATTGAGGAAAATGGGAATCCATTCTTCTTAGCACTGACTAAGTCTGAGGCTAATGCTCCATTACATTTCCTCACACATGCTAGCGAAGGATTTCTAGCTCTCCTCCTTGACCTCAGTGAACTCCTCCTTTTCCTTATGCCACGAGAATTCGACCCATATCTATGTTGTGGAGATCGATTATCAACCTTAGCGCCTCTAGAAGACACGTGCAGCAGCAACTCACTCCCTGGAACTTCAACGTCACCTGCTGATTTGCTTTCTGAAGGCAAAAAAGAATAATCTTCGTCCGAGAGCTCCTCCTCTTCCGCAGTCACCGAACCATTGTTTGTATGCACCAACGCTGAATTATTTACAGGAGCCAATGGCACAAATCGATGTTGGAGAAGCATACTAAAATGCATGTACATGAAACAAAAGGGAACTGCAGAAAAATCCACACAAAAAATAGGTGTAAACTGCCTAGATCCAAAGAACTTGCATGTCCCGGAGCTGAAAATGGAAGGACACTCCTGAAAGGGAAAAAGGAAGAAAGAACATTCAAATACAGCAACGAAAGCAACACACTAGGATGAAGCAAGTCCATTGAAAAAAGGATCCAGTGAAAACACACCCACAACACTAGCTATAACATAACTTGCAGAGAAGAAACTACCCGAACAGATACCCTCACACAATAACCATCCATCCAGAAGCCTCACCGATCAAAATAGATATCATGGAGGCGCTACCTAAATTGTAAATGACATTGTACTTGTTAAAAAGGAAAGCTATGCAGAAACCCCTGACCCTATCCTTTGCACTAATGGCAAAACACACCGATAGCATGACAGACAAGAAACTGTAAACTCTTCTACACCTTAATTTCATCAAAAGCTTGTGTACTGGGCATCTATGTAGAAAAATTCCACCAGATACTAAACGGAACTACACCGATCTAAAAAAGAAGTCCTCTGCTTACATCCAATCTCCCCAATTTGCTATACATAATGGAAGATACAAATCAGAAAATAGCTTGGCAGACTAAAGAAAATCAAGCCTACCCGTGAAAAATGAATTCCATGCAATGCATAGACACCTTGAAGCGGCTCTGACATGATAAACTTTGAAAGTGCAGACAATCTTATGCAGGCCCTCTTCATGTACTGCAGAACAGAACACAAAAGGCCAACAACCGCAGAATTTTCTCCATGTGGCAGCTCCAAAACCACAGAAAGCGCCCGAAAACCCTGGAGAGCACCACCACTCTTCCTTTTCTGTCTCCTAAAGAAGTGAATCCCATACTTCTTACCATCACCGATCTCCGAGCTTGGCACCGCCTCTCTCTTCCTTTTCCTGCTATAGACAATCCCAGACATCCTATCCACATTGTCCCTACCGATCAAAGACTCAGTTTTTACATCAGGCTTCTCGAATTCATCATCCTCCATTTCAAAAACAGCAACCTCGCGCTTTGGACTCACAATCTTGGCCAACCCAACCTGCTTGGACTTGAGACCACCAACAGCTCCATTCCCGCTACCACCTCTGCTGTCTATGATGCTATACCACTCATCCCTCTCGCCGCCCTTCCTGAGCTTGCCGTCGCCCGACTCCGGCCACAGGCGCCGGCCGGAGCGCAACACCCGCGCCCCGTCGACGCCCTTCACCACTCCGAACACCCTCGTGGTCCGTCGCATGCCAACCGATGGCATCGCCGCCGCGCTCCCAAAAAATCGGACACCCCACCACCCGACCGCTCAATCTCCTATCCCCCCCCCCCCCCCCCCGCCCCCGCTCCCCACCCGGTTCGCCGGATCACCCGGTCGACTAAGCCGATCCCTCCCGCGACGGCGACGAGGACGACGACGACCCACTTAACGGAACGAGACGCTCGGTGCCCCCTTCCGACCAACACCCAGTCAGGACCATGCACGGGCCAAAAAAACCAGAAGACCCCACCCCAAGAAAACTACAGTCAATCGCACGACGACGAGACTGAGACTGAGACTGAGACTACGCCTCCTCGGTCGGTTTTAAGGAAAAGGGCACGTGACCCCACATCGACTGAACGAGCACAGTGAACCGCCCAAATCGAGCCGATCGATCCCCCGACCCACGAAAAAAAAACACGGCGATCGCCCAAGAAACAGACAAGTAAAGATCCAACCTTTTCCCCCCTTATTCTCCTTCCTCCACCCACCTACACAACGCCAGACACAGAGAGAGAGACACACACACAGAGAGAGAAGAGAGAGAGAGAGAGGGAGGGGTTGGAGATCGGCGACGCAGAGCGATTGACGTAAATCTCGTCGAGATCGAGATGGAGAGAGAGAGAGAGAGAGAGAGAGAGAGAGAGAGAGATGTGTATAGGTGTCTCTATCTATCTACGGGGCTAGGGTTTATGGGGGACGAAACTGCGATCGAAGCAGCACGGCAACATCGCCGACTGATCCAGGCCGTTGGATCTGGGGAGATCGGCGGTCCCGATCGATTAGGGTTTCCTTGGGGAAGAGTCCAATAGCCTCGGCGTCGATGGAACTGGAAGGAAAGAAGGAAGGGCGTTTCAGCTCTCGGGAGGGAGGGGAGACACTGGATATTTTTTCCTCCCCGCTTTGAATCTCTCTCTCTCTCTCTCTCTCTCTCCCCTGTGAAAGGACGAAACCACCCCTGACGTGAGGGGGCGGGGGCGTAAGCGGGCGACGTGCGTGGATCGACGGGGGCGGATTGGGGATTTCGCGGGGTTGGAGCGGGGATACGGGAGTAAAAGCGGCAGTGAAAATCGGAGACGGGAGAGAGGTCGAAGATCCGACGGTCCTGATCTTGTGTTGGGAAGGGGGGTTAAAAAAGTAAAAGGGCCCCTCTCCCCGTGAAGCGGAGTGGGCCCCAATAATAATAAAAAAAAGCAGGTAAATTTTGGGTGAATTCCCCGAAAAATCATAAATTTTAGGTCAAATCTCAAATCTGTCACAAATTTTTTTTGTCTCGAAAAAAATTCCAAACTTTAGGTTTAGTCCCAAATCTGCCATGAACTTTTTTTTGTCTCGAAAAAAACTCTAAATTTTACATTCAGTCCCAAATCTGCCCCGAACTTTATTTTATATAAGAAAAAATCAGCAAATTTTAATTTATTTCAAAAATATACCTTCGTGATCTAGTCCCAACTTGACGTGGCACTTCCACGTCATAACAAATCCACATCAGCAAAGTAATAGGGCGATCAGTACAGTCGCATTGCCACTTCGATAACAAATCAAACAAAATAAAAATTGTCGAAATTCTCCAAAATAAAACCTCCATAGGATAGGAAAGTTAGGGATAATAACAAATCTACCCCAAAAAACTTTTTTAATTTAAAAAAAGCTTAATTTTTATGTTCAGTTCAAATTTGCTCAGAACTTTTCTTTGTCTAAAAATAAAACCCATTACTTTGTTGATGGGGATTTGTTATCGACGTAGAAGTGCTACGTCAAGTTGGAACTGGTTCACTGCAGTATATTTTTGAAAATAAATTGAATTTTGGTGATTTTTTTTACACAAAACAAAATTCGGGTCAAATTTGGAACTGGATTTAAAGTTTGGGATTTTTTCTGAGACAAAAAAAGTTCAGGGCAGATTTGGGACTGGACCTAAAGTTTGGGATTTTTTCTGAGACAAAAAAAAGTTTGGGGCAAATTTGGGATTTGATCTAAAGTTTAGAGTTTTTTAGGGAATTAGGCCGGTAAATTTTTCGTGCGTGGCCTACCATCATTTTTCCTTTTTACCTTTCGAGGCCTACCGTATTTTTTGGTAGCCTCGTAATTTTGTGAAGTTTGACTTAATTGGATCTAAAGAAAAATCCAAATTAAAATTGAAAACCAAATCAAATCCACAAACATGAAGCAAGGGTTAATACTGAGAAAAACCTCAAACTTGTACACATTCGATAAATTTACTCTCCATTAGTTTCCGTTAAATTTTACAGTCAAATTGCTGAGTTGGATAACACGTGGCAGTTGACAAATGTACCAGTTTGGGTTTTATCCCTCCGTTTGTCACATGTTTATCAGTTTGTGATTTTTCGTGGTATTAATCCAACTTATATGAGGGTAAAATTATCACGAGTGTACTACTTTGGAGTTTTTTTTTGTCAAAAAATTAATTTAGGATAAATTTATTACAAATGTATCAGTTTAGAGTTTTTCGTGATATTGACCCTTAAAGAAAACTCTTTTCTTTTTCGTCGAAAGAGAGTGTTACTCATTTCGTTAACCCACATGCTTTGAACATAGTTGAATATCCCATTGAGATCGGGGGCTTAGACAACCAAATAGATGGAAGAGCCTTCCTATAACGAGCCTTAGTTATTCCGTTGACCACTTGATTTGCTTCACGAGGACAATGGGTCACTTAGGATGCGCATGGCAACGATTCTGTGCTCGGGAACTGATTCTGCTTAGAAATGATTCTTTTTGATTCCATACCCGGGAATAATTTCTAAGCATTTGAAGGCGTTTGGTAACTACCCAAAATTTCTATTCTTATAATAGAAAAAGAACAGAAATGCGTTTGGTAATTACACAAAATTCCTTTTTATTAATAATATTTTAATAATTTTTGAATATTTTAATATTTCTTTCTTTTTTTTTTCTTTCTTTCCCTTCCCTTCCTTGGCCATGGCCGGTTGCCGGCGCTGGCGACCGGCCACAGGCCAGGGCCGGTGAAGGTGTCGCAGCCCTCGCCACCGCCCTCGTCTTGGCTCGGCGAGGCCGAACTCGCCATTGCGACCCATCTCCCTCGCCTGGGTCGCGATGGCGAGGTCGACCTCACCATGGCTGGGCAAGGCCTCGCCGTCGCGGCCGTGCTGCCCTCGCCGGCCCTGGACGGTGGCCGGCGGTAGGCCAAAAAGAAGAAGAACAAACCAAGAAGGAAGAAGAAAACCAAGAAAAATCAAAAATGGAAAAATTGTTCCCCGAATCAAGAAGTTACTTTTTTTTGTTTCTTGATTCTGTTTCAAAACTGATTCTGGGAATAATTTTTTGCAAATTTGGACCCGAGAATAAAAAATTTAACAAACGAATTTTTATTCTCAAATTGATTTTGAAAATAAAAGAATATAAATTTTCACTATTTGGCAACTTGCCAAACGAGCCCTTGCCAAACGGACCCTGGATAGCACGTTTTCCGGTCATCAATCTAGGCCCTGTGAGTCCCATGGGCTTTGTTCTGCGACCGCAACATACCAGAAAGAGAGTTTTTGTGATATTGTCAGAGGGTAGGGGCCCACAAGAGAAAAAAGCAAGAAAAAAAGAAAAATGGACGTTGAACCCTTTCATTATAGAAGGAAGAGAAGAGGCCTAGAGACGCATGTGAGAAAAGGGAAAAGAAAGAGGAAAGAAGAAAGAAAAGGAAAGAGAGGAAAAGGAAAAAAACAGAAAAAAAAAGGAAAGGAGTTTCGCGCGTACATGGTACCGGGATCTCGCCAAACCGATTCAACTTCAATTGCAACACTAAATAGATGCTCGAAGCTTTTGTTCATCCAATCGGAGAAATTTTCATAATTAGGGCTTAAATTTGAAGTTTTGTGAAATTTAAGTCACGAAATCCGATTTTGAGTTGTTGAGCTTTGAGATTTCTTGAATATGGTGGATTATGGCGTTGTGGAGCCGTGGGGTTTAACGAGAGTCGGTTTAGAGCAACCGTTTGGTCGGAGTGAGAATTTTAGGGTTTTGTATGTGAGTTTCACGTTGAGTTCAAGTTTGAATAATCGCTTTAAGTGAGCGATTTGTTGTCGCGTATGAGTCGTTTTGTTAGCGTTTAACTTTAGTGCAGTCATATCATAGTCAAGGTATTGTTTTACTTGATTTTAACGTTGATACCCATTTAATTGATAGATTTACGAGATTATTGATTCGAGTGAGCTCCATTGTTTGGTTTTTTAGGCATTCCCACGGAGTGATGCTATAAACTCATGTCTTGAAAGCGATGGATACTCGATATATTATGAGTTAAGAAAGAGCATGTTTGTTGCATAAAATATTGGATTGGGCATATAGTACTTTTTCGTTATTTGTGAATGGTTTGAGAAATGTTTTATGAAAGCCGTTTCGAAATGTTATTGGTTTATGAAATAGATTCTGAAATGGTTTGAAAGACGCCTTGTGAAATGTGTTGTTTGATGAATGGAGTTGAGAAAAATTATATATTTGGTTTGTGAAACCGTTTAGTGATTTGATTCTGAATTAGCTTGTGAATTGTGAAGCATGCTATTATGAGTTTGTGTTGATACTCAATATCGCCATGAGCTCATTGAGGGGGGAGCTTGGTTGCCTTGTCACAGGGCGTCAGGCATAATCGTGATTAAAGATATTGGAGCACAAGTTTGGTTAATGGATAGACCATTTAAATGTGCATTGAGAGTAGTCGATGGAATAGCTATTGACATGTGATTTGAGATTGGTTGATAGAATGAATCATTGACGAATGATTTGGTTGAGATTTATCAATGGACTTGACAATTGATATTTTAATTGAGATGATGATTTAAATTAGTTTTTTTTAATTGTATAAAACTCGTTGCAATGAAGCAACTCATATATGATTTGATATGTATATTAAAAAGTTGAATTATGAGTTTCTGATATTGCTTTATACTTATACATATGTGCATAGTGGCTACTCGATTTGCTTAGAAGAGATGTATTACTCATTGGGCCGTGGTTGCTCACTCATTTTCTTCCCAATCTTTTTAGGCCGTATAGAGCGAGAGCGATATTGACGGGCACTTTTAGCAGTTGGATTTTTTAGTATGGTTTGAGATGTGTCCTTCGGATGGAAGGACGACTGTGTCACTTCCAAATTCTAGTAGGATTTACGGTGTGACATCTTATGGTATCGAGTTTAAGTCATGATTTGTTTAGATATAGATTCTATGGGACGTTGTGAGTTTATGTGTTAGTTTATATAGTGTTAGTCTTTTGTTAGGTACTAGGATTAGGATGTATTTTTCTTTTGATGTAAGTGATCATCGATTTTGATTCAGAAAAGCATGCTTCTCCTTGCAAGGGATAATAAAGGCAAGCGAGTTGTTATCTTTGATACCAGAAGGTAGATCGTAATATCGTAACTTGTCAAATGGTGTGGCCCATAAGAGAAAAAAAGAAAAAGAATTTTTTTTCACATACTTGGATATCTTGAGGCACTGACTAAATTCACGTATTAATTTTTTATTCATTTCCTAAAGGAATCGCCGATATGAGGGCTTAATTCTTTAACAAGGCTTCTCGAGGAAAAAGCAAAGTAGCCCAAAAAAGGAAATGAATGGTGCGTTTATTTCGCGGAAAATGAATGATTTAAAAAATATTTTTCTAAAAATGATAGCTTGTATCGCTTACAAAAATAAACGAAATTAAAATATTTTCATCGCTCGCGAAAATATTTAGACATAAATTTCTGTTGATAATGAAATTTTTTTCATTGACTAATTATTTCAAGCGATATAAACAATTATTTTTAGGAAAACAATTTTGAAATAATTATTTTTCGTGAAACAAACGGAGCCTTATATTCGCATTTTAGAGTTAAAAAGCGTTTCTGCTTGTAAAGATAGAAAGTAAAAAATAGTAATAGTCTCCAATCGATGAAGCTTCGGCTACTACAAGGACTTTGCTGTTGCATCACGAAATTGAGCTGGCCCAATGGGCCAATGAAAGCCTTAATTAAACTTTAGTCCGCGGGGATTGACAACGAAAGAGATGACATCAAAGCGATAACGTGGTAAGTAAGTCGCAATGTCTTCCATAAAATTACAATTTCGAGCTACGTCGTGGACGAATCTCCGACCAATTTTTGTCTTGGCCTGACCACCTGTTTTTACTTATAACAAAGAAAAGGAATACTTGTGCGCGCTGGAAGCAATTTACAAGCTTAAACGAACTATCCAAAACTTCTTAAATTCGACCTTTAACCTCACATCTTTCGCCACAAAGAAGCTTCACTAAAATCGGAGAATTTCAAGCGACTAAATGTCCTTGATAATTTCATTAGCCATGCGAGACAGCGAGTTGAAAGTGGATGAATAAATACGAAATTGCCTTTTGCATTTAATGATTAAGATATTCGAATCCGTGTCCAGCGCTCCACAAACACATAGCTCGGAAGATATCGCCAACTTACATTTGTGGTCCATCCATAACTGATGTTCTTTCTCCTAAATTACGTCTTCTAGCTAACGCATCAGTGCGCTTCTTCTTCATTCTTTTCCCAAAGCATCTTACCTACAACTTTCCTTCCTCGAAATCCAAAAAACAGAAAAACTCTTCAAATCTTCCGCCTCAACTAATCCACACAAATACACGAGGATCACCTTGACCATTTCCACGACTCGAGGATTTCACCCATCAATAGCCGGCCCGACCTTCGAGCTTAACATCGAGCAAGGGACATCTCCCATCCGACCACACCATCATTTGAGCCGGACCAGACGTTTCGCCGTCGGACCGACCCGGCACCGTCGGCACTGCTCAATCTTTCACGGGGACGAGGTGGAAAGGCGAACACACAAATCATGCAATTCAATGGTCAGAATCGGTCGGGGAGTAAATGAGATCACGAGCCTTCGAATTGGGTCAAGGAAAGCTGAACTTCGGTTGGCAACGACTGGTGCTGCATCTGACCATGTGTACGCCCTCTCGCCAGCAGAACTTCCTCAACAGTCCCCCCCAACTTGCGAGTCAAACACAACCACCCATCATCCTCGCTTCCTTTACCCCTCCTCCATCCACAAAAACATCCTTCATACGTTGACGGGTCAATTAATCCTAATTTTTAAAAATTTTTCAAGCGGCAAGCACGACGATCGGACTCCCTCGAGGTCCCGGTGGGGTTCCGACTATCGGGATTGCTTTCGAGGCAGAGACATGCCTCGGCTCCGACGCTTGCTCCATGGGTAAGTGAAGAGGCGGTCGCCCCGATCGATAATCGATTCGCAGAGTGCTCAGAAAGCTTGCTTGGTCATCAACAAATCGAGCTGCTTATGTAATTCGATTTTTTCGTCCCGGTATTTTATTTCGCCTAATTAGGTTTCGTGGAGAATCGAGTACGGAAACACGGGGTCCCCATTGGAAAATTACAATGATTACATGTCAAGCTTGGTACTAATCTAGGGGAGGCCTTGCCAACATTATCCAAAACCAAAACCAAAACCAAAACCATTTATTAGCAATAAAAAATGGAAATAATTATTTTTCCGCAATCCCGAAGCACACCTTCTTCTTCTTTTTTTTAATTCTTTTTAATTTGGGGGAAAAAAATTCAAAACTAGACCGGAGAAAAGAAGATAAAAGTAGAATTGTCCGTGCGAAGGTAAAAATTGATAATAAATTTAGCGAAATACTTGAGAGAAAAATAAAATAAAACACAAAATGCGGGGACCGTAGCAAGATGAAAGAGTCGTACCGAGACGAAAGCTCGTCTGTCCGAGTTTCTTCTCGTTTCGCACGAGGCCTTTATTACAACTGCCGATTCTGGTGCAGGCGGAAGCGAACAGATTCATGCGAGCGTCGAATGTGACGGTCTTGTTTCGTTCCGGACCAGGAGGGGAAATCATCAGCTCGCCCCTGCCATCTTGAATCCCCGCACGTTCTCTTGGGGGCGCCAAGAATTCGTTTCTCGCCAGGATTTCCCCCGGGGCGTCGTCCGCTCCGATTCTTGGAGCTGGTGCGAATCTTTGTTTGCACCCGGAATCTGGGTGCGTGCGTTGCGGTGAATCATCTGGGTACTTGGTTGAAGCATTACCCTTGTTTGCATCCGCCCACCTCGTGGGATTTTTCCTGCTTCCAGCTGTTTCTTTGTTCTTGAGTTAGACACGCGACCGCGTGTAGTCGCCGTCTTTTTGGCTGATTGCGTGCACGCATTGCGAACGATTGTTTGTTTCGCTTCTGTTTGATGTCTCCCCGAACTGATTGTGGGTTCAATTTTTGCATGATTTGTCCTCGATAGTTGTCCTCGTGACTTCTGATCGTTTGGGATTGGCTTGTTTAGCTTGAATTCTCGGAGTTCTTGCGCTGTTTGACGTTGTCGTGGGACGTATAGGGGAAAAAAACAATACGGGTATAGATTATTTTTTCTGACAGATTTCTCTTGGCCATTTGTGATTTTCATGTCAAAAATATCGAAAGGGCTTGTTCTGTTTTTGGCTCACGGAGTATGAAAGAGAGGTTGATGTTGTTTTTGGTTTGAAATATGTACAGAATTTAGCCTGAATCGAGCCAGATGAGTTTGTTGGAATTTGTTCAGCGAAATAATTCTTTACCATTTTCTGCCCTCAAAATTGGTTGCACTGTTTATGCTTACTCTGAACTGGGGTGCTGGTTTATACTTGCAAGTCAGAGACTGTTGGTTGGCTAACTTTTGCAGGTTAATGTTGGTCCTGCATTTTCTGCAATATGCTCTTCAACTGTGCATTCTGGTTTCTTTCTACTTGTTCTCTTGATCTTCAAGTTGTGAAGTAGTAGTAATGACTGCTTTAATTGCATCTTTTTTTCAGGCCAATTTCCTTCCATTAGATTTGTAGGAGGTTTGCCTGTTGTCGTCGATATTGTATACTAGTAATCGATATCAATAAGATTTGTTCTGCTCGTCAAGTATTGTGGCCATGGGCACTGCTAAAGGAGTTCTCCAAGTTTTCTCCGGAGTTGCTCCACGCAATCATTGTTTTGACCCGAGTTCTAATGCATTGGGCTCGGCGTATTCGTTTAACTCTCATCTGATTAGTACCAAAAGAAGTGCATCAAAGAAAATAAAAATCCCTGTCTATGCAAGCATACAGTTGAGAAATTCTGAAACCTTTGGGGTGCAAGGATTTGGAGAGAGTTCATATAAGGATAGGAGTATCAATCGGTCGAAGTTTTCAAGTTGCAGATGCCAACGAGCTGATAGTGTTAGTGGGACAACCACTGGGAGTTGGTTTGTTGATAGTGCCGATGATTTAAACCCCTTAAATACTATGGTAAATGGGCCACATGTTCTGGATTTTGACGATGTCAAGCAATTGAAAGAGGAGAAAACAGATTCAATGTCAAATGGTGCACCCGGAGCCAGCAGTACCATTCACAGGGCTAAGGTTGACCCCATTGAGGAAGAAGCATGGGATCTATTGCGTGACTCAGTTGTTTATTACTGTGGAAGTCCTATTGGAACTATTGCTGCAAATGATCCAACCAGCTCTAACGTTTTGAACTACGATCAGGTCTTTATTCGTGACTTCATTCCTGCTGGTATAGCTTTTCTCTTGAAGGGAGAGTATGATATTGTGCGGAACTTCATTCTTCACACTCTTCAGTTGCAGGTATATATTATTCCAATTGCCATTGATGTAACTCGTTTCAACTGTGGTTATCCTTGTTATTGTTCCTATGTGCGATTACTGTTGTCAATATATGTTTGTCGTATTGAGTTTCTAAGCTTATTTATCGTGATGTCAGATGCATTTTGGCGACTGGACTTCGATTTTTTAAAATTAATCTATTCACTGTTAGTTTCAGCGGTTCTGATGATATATGCTCACATGGTGACCGAACTTTTTATTATGTTATTATGGTGATTTGTAATTTTTGTAACTAAAAGATGCTCTTCATCAATTTTGGCGCTCTTACTGTAGTTTGGATGTACACCATGCCTTTGACCTGAAGGAAAGGACGAAACCTTGTAATTCAATCTTTCAGTTGTGATTGAACATGCTAAACGCATCTTAGCCAAATTAAATATATTATCATGTGCGCCAATATATGATAGTTCTTCAAGCGTTTCTGAAATTCTTTATTTAGTTTTTAAATCATGCACGAGTTCATCTGCTAATCCTTCTTCTTCTAAGAAGGGGGACACATCTATGAGAAAGATGGTTTTCTTGTCTTTCAGCTTTTAAGATGGCTGCTTATGCTACAGCTTCCAACATCTTTCTGCTATACTGAATTACTCTTTCTTTCCCAATAAGCAAGAATCTTTTGTTGCTCAATCAAATGTCCTGTACTGCAAATCTATAATTCCTTATTGCAGAGCTGGGAGAAGACAATGGACTGCCATAGTCCTGGTCAAGGTTTAATGCCTGCTAGTTTTAAGGTTCGCACGGTTCCTTTGGATGGGGATGATTCTGCCACAGAAGAGGTATTAGATCCTGACTTTGGGGAGGCGGCTATAGGTCGCGTTGCACCAGTCGATTCTGGTAATTAAGTTATGGCTTCAAGAAGAGGTCGATGATAGTTTATTTTACATTAGAACTCTCGTGTCAATAAATGATCTTCCATATTTCTCTGTATTTCAGGTTTATGGTGGATTATTCTTTTACGTGCGTATGGCAAGATATCTGGGGATCTCTCTGTTCAAGAGAGGATCGATGTTCAAACAGGAATAAAGATGATTTTAAAGCTGTGCCTGGCTGACGGGTTTGATATGTTCCCTACATTATTGGTGACTGATGGTTCTTGTATGATTGATCGGCGAATGGGAATCCATGGCCACCCTCTCGAAATTCAGGTGAGCATATTCTGTGCCATCTTAACTGATCGTTTTTAAGAGTTCTTTCTAATATGCAAGTGGAGGCATAGTGGGAAAATGGAGAAATAAAGGAGTTGTATCTCTCTTAATGAAGCTCATATTAACTGGTGGTGGTTGCTTCTTGCATTGAACCTGATCGAGTTGCTTATCTAGTCTGTGCCAACTTCATGCAATGAGCTCCACATCCCTCACAATATTAGTTGTGACTTCTGCCTTGAGTGGCTTATTCTTATGAAATTTAGATGTCACATTTTAAGAATGTGCCAACTCAGAAAATGGAAAGTATATCTTAGCATATCAGTATATTAGTGTTTCTATTCTTCTTTATAAGATAATAGGTGAAGACTGCATTTGTATCACTTTTACATATCACGGCCGCTGCTGAATAAGTATCTGTTAGACCCAAAATGGACACAGATTTTATTTTGATGCATTGTCAGTGGATCTTAAAGTAATGTCTTTATTTGCTCTGTGGTACTTTTAGTTCTCGGACAACGGCTTTGGTGCAAACCATGCATAGCAGTTGCTCAAAGTAAGATATCGGAAGTCGTCTGTCTCTCTCTCTCTCTCACACACACACACACACACACATAGAGACACATGTGCACATAAAATTCTTTGCTTGAATTTTTCTTTGTTTGGCCAACGTCGTTAGGATGATTTTGGAGAATACTCACTTCTTTAGTTTTGGAGATGTACTTGTGCATGGAGCACGTGTCTCTGAAGTCATTGGGTGATTTAATGGCATACACCGCTTCAAGTCATAGAAGGTCCTAAGCGAATCAGGATTGCAGATGTGTTTAGTTGGAGATTTGGCGGCATACTTATTTAAATTTTAACCATTGGCGAAATCATAAGCAGGCCAAGATCAGAGTGTTTTTTGACATGGATATGAGATGAAGATCATGGTTCTTTTGTCTGCCGTGTGAATTTAATTTGGTCCTTTAGAGTACGTATCTTTTGGTTCCTATGGCATTGGTCGGTTATTTATCTGATCTCAAACACAGATAAATCTAATTGTCACTCAGATAACATTATCTTCTCTTACAGATAACATTTTCTTAAATTCTCTAACATGAATATAGTTAAAATTTTGCAGGCACTCTTTTATTCTGCCTTAATGTCCGCGCGTGAGATGCTTGCTCCAGAGGATGGATCTGCTGATCTAATTCGTGCTCTGAACAATCGTCTGGTAGCCCTCTCCTTCCATATCAGGGAGTATTATTGGATTGATTTAAGAAAATTAAATGAAATTTACCGGTACAAGACGGAAGAGTACTCATACGACGCAGTCAACAAGTTCAACATTTATCCCGATCAAATTCCTCCATGGTTGGTCGAATGGATTCCAAATAGAGGGGGCTACTTAATTGGGAACTTGCAACCTGCCCACATGGATTTCCGATTCTTTTCTCTTGGGAACTTCTGGTCCATTGTTAGCGGGCTTGCAACCGTGGATCAGTCCCATGCCATTTTGGATCTCATCGAAGCAAAGTGGGCCGATTTAGTTGCCGACATGCCATTTAAGATTTCTTATCCTGCTCTTGAAGGACAAGAATGGCAAATCATCACCGGAAGTGATCCTAAAAACACGTAAAGTTTTCATTGACAATGATACATATATGTGTGTGTCTTTCTGACAGTATGGTTTCTTTGCTTAAATATGGTATTCTAATGTGATTCTTACCCTGATGCAGGCCGTGGTCCTATCACAATGCGGGTTCCTGGCCAACTCTGCTTTGGCAGGTTAGTGTTTATTTTACAAAACCATTTAAAAACCTGCTCAGTTCATTGAAGATAAAAATAAAAAGATTTCGAATTTGATGGAGGGAAACTGTTTTGCAGCTCACAGTGGCTTGCATAAAGATGAATAGAGCAGACATTGCCGTGAAGGCTGTTGAGATCGTGGAAAGGCGCTTATCAAGAGACAGGTGGCCCGAATATTATGACACGAAAAGATCAAGATTCATCGGCAAACAGGCCCGCCTATTCCAGACCTGGTCGATTGCGGGCTATCTCGTGGCAAAGCTTTTGCTTGCCGATCCGGGTGCTGCGAAGATTCTCATAACCGATGAGGACCCCGAGCTAGTCAATGCATTCTCTTGCATGATTGGTGCAAACCCAAGGAGAAAGCGTGGCCGGAAGAACACGAAGCAGAGCTATATAGTCTGAATTGTGTCTTACATCTTGCCATTCCCAACAGCCGGGTTGCTTGCTTGTATAGATAGGTTAAGTATTTTTTCCGCTCATATATGGGTCTATTTACTAATCAAATAATGATTAATTAATTTCAAACGAAAATTGCGAACTAGTGTTCTAAACGCATCCTTCCTTTTCCTCCCCCTATTATTGCTGGGCGTTGCACAGGACAGGCTTCCTTGATGCAATAGTAAAATTTGCAAAGATATTACATTCTTAATTTAGCTTCCTGTATATCCAAGTGTTTATGTTGGAGAAATAAGATGATGGTGTTGATTATGTTTATCGCAGCTACTCTTGATTTTGGGTGACTGGATTGAAAATTATGAATTTCCTTACTATATTGCCTTCTGCATTTTTCTAGAGAAATAATCGTTTGTGCATTTAGATGGTTGAATGCTTATCTGTTCAGTAATCCAGTTTTTTAGGTTTCCAAGAAAAAAAAAAAGAGTTAATACCATGAAAAACTCCAAATTGGTACACTCGTGACAAATTTATCATAAATTAATTTTTTGATCATGAAAGAACTCAAACTGGTACACCTGTGACAATTTTATCTTTCGTTAGTTTCTGTTAAATTTTACAGTCAAATTTTTGAGTTAGATAACACGTGACAGTTGAGGGGTGTACCAGTTTGGAGTTTTATCTTCCGTTTGCCACATGTGTACAAGTTTATTGTTTTTCGTGGTATTAATCCAATTTAACGAAAGGTAAATTTATCACAGATGTACCGGTTTGGAATTTTTGGTGGTCAAAAAATTAATTTGGGGTAAATTTGTCACAGGTGTACCGGTTTGGGATTTTTCGTGCTATTAACAACAACAAAAAAAGAATGATCTGGTTTTCAGAATAATTTTCAACAAATGATGACCTAATAAAGATATCTGGAGTCAAGGATGCCACCATAGATGGAATATGATTAGGGTCTCCTTTTGTGCAGTAATTTACCATATTTATATTATCTGGATTAAGCCTGGGTATAGGATAACTATCCAGCCGGGTTTCCTTTTATGGTTCAGAAAGCTGTACTAAGATTCAAGCTTCCGAAATTGTAACTTGCATTAGCTTAACATACCAATAAAATTCTATCTATAATTTTTCCCACATACTAAATTTCTTTGGCTAAACTTGCTTGATGCCATTTCAAATTAAAAAAGTTTTATTTCACGGTAATAATACGCATTTGAATGAAAATGTGCTTAGCTGTAGAAAGTATCTGTACAGGATAAATTTTCTCTTTAACCTTTCAGATGTTTCTTACAACATGATCACCAATGAGAAAACACATAGAGAACTTACTTCAATCTCCTCCAGCTCATATAAGTTTTTGGCAAGTTCCAAAGGATTTTTTTGAGAAATTTAACTTTAAAAAGAATTCAGCATGAAAATTAAAGAAAATGAGTAGTACTTCAGCAAAACATGATTTTGGTAATGTTCCAGATCTTTTTTTCAATGTTGGTAATGTACCAGATATTTTTCTCCTTGATTGGTAACCTCATGAACCTATGTTGAATGAGTAATAAACCAATCCAAAAAGGGGAAGGAGAGTAATTAGGAATCCACCAAAAAGACACCTCAACCGGAGGTGCATGTACTACATATGGCAAAAACGTGAAAAAAGGTAAGATAGGATTTGGCAATACCTCATTGTTACCGGTGAATTCTTCTCTAGATTAGTCCGTTGTGGATCTGACTTGTATTGTCATACGCACGAGTCTCACGTGGGAATCACTAGATCTATTGGTTCAATTGGCTCGGTCTACTATGAATGGAGTCTAGGCAAGAATTCTTACGTGCACCATTTGGTGACAGAAGCTAAACCCTTTCCATGTGTTTCCCTCTCATTACCAGCTTAAAAACGAGAGGAGAGGCGTTAAGAAGCCAGCTTTCGCACATAGCCTGGCCATCGAAGAGGCAGTTACTTCCTGTTCAACACACACACAAAGCACGCATGGCCTTCACTTCATTACTCTTCTTTCGTCTCTTTTTCTCATTTTCAGCCTCTATGTAAGCTCAGATATGACCATCCAGCTTTGCTAGTGCAATAGCCTATATAAACCAGACTTGGTCACTCACACAATCTACACAACCCTCATAAAGATTCTCTTCGTATACACTTTCTCTGCTTCTGTTTGTGTGAAGATTTTTAGGTTCTTTGTGTCTGAGCAATGGCTGACGAAGTAGAAGCTCTTATTGACGAACTTTATGCAATGGTCACCTCCCTCGAGGAACAAGTATCCTGTTATCCTTTGTTCTTTGAATTTTTGCATCTGAAAATGAAACAGTGTTGTTTGTTGTTTTAATTTTTTTTGGCCAAAGTTGTTTATTTAATTCGAGAGTGAATGAAACCACCCTTTTCTTGGTTTGCATATGTCAGGAAATGGCAGAATCTTTCAAGACTAGTGGAGTTCGAAAATGTTTTTCTAGTTTCAACTAAAGAAAAAGTAGCCTTTTTCAAAACAATCTTTCAGCTTTGAGTGAAACATCGACAAATTGAACCTGTTTGTTTTACCAATTCCAATTTGAGAAAATGGTAGCCTTTTCATTGAAACAAGCCTTTTGGTTTTGAATGAAGCACAGACATATTGAAAATGTTTTGTGAAGGTTTAACAATTGTCATTGTGAAATAGTGTGGCAAAATATTGACAGATATCATAAAAGTCAATTCAAATCTGTTACATGAAGCAAGTTCATCGAATTATAATTGATTTCTCGTGTTGATCTTTTTCAAGGGCTTGCTGGACAATCAATTCATCACTAATTATGAGATGAAACCGGGTGATGGCTCCATGTATTTCATAGAGTTGGTCCAAATGTTCCATGAAGATATTCGATCAGCGATGAGAGATCTAGCTATTGCTTTGTAATTCTCTGTGGCAACCCTTATTATGGTGCTTCTATCTCACTCGTTCTTGTGCTTATTTCAGACTCATCTTGCTTTATTTCCTGATTCCTCAACAGGGAACTTCCTACTGTGGACTATACAGATATACGTGAGCATCATGCAAAGATCAAAAGGATAGTTACAAGGTAAGACAATAACGTTACGTTCATGTGGCACACATCAAATTATGATTGCTCCTTTGCTTATTTAGGTCTGTTGTAGAAATTATGCATGATAGATGGCTTCTACTGTTTGTGGCTGTAACGTGTATAAGTCACGGAGGGAATTTTCGTGAAAATAATTTGAGTTGATCACTTAGATTCTCCTCTTTGTACTTTTGTTTGCTGCCTGTTTACCATTTTATGTGTTGGTAGGCGTTATTTTCGTTTTTTCCACCAACGAACTTTTAGATCAAGATTGACAGATCTATTTAGCCCTACAGTAGTGACTATGCATGATCTATTTACCCCGACTATTTCTCGGAAGCACCACGTGTAACTAGTATGGGTTGCAGCCGAGAAATAGTCGGGGATGAGTATTGTCGTTTATACCTTTGTTTGCGCATGATTACCATTAAGTGATGTCGGGAGAGCGTTATATTTGCTTTTATAAACTTCAAACTTACTCTTCTATCAAGATCAACACATCTTGGATTTATTTGGATCTCAAATTAGAGCTCACAATAGGTTCCCTTTTCGAATCTTTCGGGTCATTAATTACCGTTACTTTGTCTATAAATTGGTGATAGTTATTTTTGGCTGGCTGATTTGCCTTTCCATATCGTATACTAACTTTCGTGATGTTGGAAGGTGTTCGATTTGCATATCCAAAGTAATGTCTTTTACTTAAAACATACTGATGAATTGCTGAAGAGTTAAAAGGCTGATGAAGAATATTGCTGTTACTTACCTTGTGAAAGACTATTTGCATATTATATTTTTGCTAGATCATTTGTTATTTGTTTTCATGGAACAAATTGTAATGATTCAGCGCTTCAATCTCTCCTCTTAACTTAGGCTTTGCATGCTAGAATCTTGTTTGTCTACATTTATGTCAATATCTCCAAGCTTTATCATGAAGAGATCAAAGGAAGAACGTGCTGCTGTATTACTCCATCTCTGGTTTGTAGTCAATCAATTGCATTTTCTGCTTGAGTTGTCCGAGTATCTTATTAATGTCATAACATATCAAATAATCGACTCGTACTGTCCCGCTCCATCGTATCATAATGATATTGTTTTCGTAGTGATACAATCATAAGTTTAGGCCCACTAACTATTCTAAATGATTTTCCAGCGTCGGTGCTTCAGCGCTGAACCTGCCGCTTGAGGTGCTGCGCCTTGGTGTTGCTGCTTCCTCCAAGGAAGAGTAAGTAAACACTTTGATTCCACATAAAAATATCGGCATGTTTGCTTATGCTTGATGTCTTAATGGTAAAGTTTAATGCCTTGCTTGGATTTGTTGCTAAGAATGCTTATCATGCAGGTGCGACTTTGCACTGCTCCGCATACATCAAGAGTACCATAAACTGCGTCCGCACTTGGAGAGCATCACTGAGGTAGCAAAAAAGCCGTTGGTTAACTGCAGTAATCAAATGAATATGGCATGTAATTATCTACAGAGTATGAGATGATCAAAACCATAATGATTAATCTAGAACATGCGGAATCGTGTCTCCGCAAGAAAATTGTGGAAAATGACTGAGCTTTCTCATCTTACAACTTAGGGATTTTACTCAAGTGTTAATTTCTCTTTCTAGGTTACTCCTTTTTGCGCCCAGAACCCTTTTCCCATCCAGATCCTATTCTGCCATATCTTGCTTTATACCTTCAACGGTCGATATTTCAGCCACTTATGCAATTGAAAACTACTCTGCTGGGACAGTGATAGGGGTTTCCTGAAGATCTGAGAAATCTATTGACTACTTCATTGCTTAGGGTCAATTTCCTTCTTTGTTCTTTTCTTTGCTAATAAAAGTATTATGAAACATGCGACAACTTGAACCCGCCAAGATGTAATTATTCTGAGCTCATGAGGCATAAGAGAAACAAAATGCCATCGACTTCTATTAATGTTGTTTCTGCCTGAAGTTGTTAATCACCCATTGCGATCTGTCGTTGTTATATCTCACTTAATGAATTCTGATGTTTGCAGCTCGAGCGCAGGATTGTTGACCTTGTGCGCCACCTGGCAAGGCGGGGGAACAACTGAAATTGGGTGACCAGTGTCTCATCAAGGTTGCCGGTCCCGAGTAATGAAAAGATCATGGAAAAGTTTTAAAGTGTCTAATAAAAACTTATGATCTAGTCATGTCTTGTTTGAGCATCTGAACTTGCTCTCCTTATGTTATTTTTGGTGTTTCCTATCTGAGCATCTGAATATGCTCTTAGTACAAGTAATGTTGTCGTTTCGTGTGTCGAGCATCTGAACTGCTCTTGCTTGGTGTTGCTTGTTACTTCTATGGTTTCTCTTTATCCTTATATAAATTGAACTCTATGCTTCAACATGTTGATGTTGCCTTGTGTTGCATGTCCTACTTTATCCCTATGCGCCAACTTGATTATGATGTTAAGTTGAGGCTGAAGCAAAAGTTTTAGTTTCTCTGGACAAGCTGTCTAGTTTTATCTTTCTGTTCGAAAATATTTCTTTTCACGTTTATGGAATTGTTTGGGTTGCCGTGTTCAACTATCTAAGGTTCTATGTCCTTCATTATTTTGGGTCTCTTGCTTGTGAGGAAAATTTCTTCATGGATACCGTTAGTTTGATTTTCTTTGAAAATTTGATTTATGTATTATTTTGCCGAAATGCTGTTTTTCGACCCAGAAAGATGTGTACTTGGCTTCTGAAAAATATGTACTCGGCTTCCAGGGACGGATCTAGACATGAAGTGATTGGGGGGGCTTGATACGAGCAAACTAACAATAGATTCCAAGGTAAAAAATTGACTTGAACAAACCAGTTGAATACGAATAGTCTGGTATGGTTAAGGCCTACTGTTGAAAACCCTAATATTGCTCTAAGCCTTTATCTTAATTACGATTCTTATTACTACTCTTGTTGCTATTGGATCAAATAGCATAGATGTCTAGGATGTTCCCAAGTAATATTCGATGACTTGAAAAATTCAAATTTTTAGCTCATATTATTCTCTTTTGAATTTCATTTCATGAGATAGAACATATCAAGACCTATCAAGAAGAGATTAGTCTAAGGTATTATAGTTTAAGCATATTAAGCATATTCTTTAGCTTTCTTGATTTAGTAGGGTTCCATGGTTGGCTAATTTTCACTCGTTAATTTTCTTTTTGAATTCTTACCCCGTCTACTGTCGCAAACAAGAAAGATCTTGCACCCTAATAAAATCTATTCATGTATACAAGTCAAATCTATTGCTCGAATTATTAGATTTCAACTGCACACGCGTCTAGATCTCGATCCAGCCTGTCGAAAATGTTCTCTCCATGTATCTCCCAGGACATAATAATTACTCCTTGTATTGTCCACATGGCCAGATTTCTTCAGCAATCTTTTCTTATTGCCATTGATGTCACTTATCATAGAACATCTCCTTGTGTACCATTGCCAATAATTGTTTCCTGCAGTTGGTTGGATGAGGGTTTATCAGTGAACATTTGAATAGTCTAGCTTTCAGAAAGGTTTGAGAATGAGACCTAATTGAAGGAGGCGATGCATTTGCAGCTCCTTCAGATGGTGAACATTTTGGCTTTACCCTCATGTTTGGGTTCAATTCTTTTCCAATAATTAATCACATTTCTACTACAGATTAGGGTTAGGACATTGGAAAACTGCTAAAAAGATAATCAATTAAAAAACTGTATAAGGTTATCACCAGAATAAAAGCTGGCTGTCTACGAAGTAAATAACCCTGAATTTTCGGAGAGCAACGATACTTTCACTAGCTAGAATCACGCAACCAGATTTCTGATCGAAGAAGTCCTCATTTTCTTCACTGTGACAAGGTGCCTTTGGTTCAAAAGTGTAGTTTGCTGCAGGAAGTCTATCAACAATATACTACTGTTTCTTTTTTCACTTTTTCAGACGTTTCTTTGATCTCCATTGAAAATATAATAAACTTAATTTCTTCAACCTCATATTCACAAGCCTCAGAGTTGGCGCAGTTGATTGGGGTGTCATAGAATTTCCAGTTCAAGAACCGGAGATATCATGCTTTTGCGCTCGTCACCAGGTTATAAAAAAAAGGATCTCATCTGCACATTGTGCTTTTAGCTGCTGCATAGTTATGATATGCTGAAAATCAAGGCGCGATGGATATATCGTTCCAGAAGCACCTTCAAATCTTCTACTAAAAAACCAAAATGAACGGAAAGAAATATGAAGGATAAATTCGATGAGAGATGAAAATTCTGATAATGTCTTAGATCTTTTCCCCCTTGAATGGTAAGTTCTTTTCTTTGGTAAGTCCTTGAATGGTAAATCCAGCATTGCATGGATGAGTATTAAGCAGAACCAGAAAAGGAGAGTAATTATCATTTCAAATGAGGCACACTTGCAACGGAAATTCTTCCATCCCTTTAGTCTAAGGTGGCTATAATGATCTGAAGTGTTAACTTTGGCAGGTCACGACTGAGTCCACCGCGGAAAAAATGACATGCGAGTTTCACGTCGGATCCACTATTTTTGACGGCTCAGGTCATCTGTTCACCATGAGTCGAGAGGAGGCAAGATTTCACCGCTTCAACTCAGGTGCATGTACTAAACAATGGAAAAAACAAGATAAACACAAGAATGTGCCGTACCACCGTAAATGAGCAAGCTCTTACGTGAAATTGGTTATATATCACGTGGCAATGACACGTGAAGAAGTCAAATAGAAAATCAGCTAAGGTTCAAATGATACGGGCATTATGGTTGGCTCGTTACACCGCATTAGTGATGCAACCACCACATAATTATACAAGCATCATTGGTGACGCAACCAACACATACAAAATACAAGCATCCTGTAGGACATGTTTGGATACCGAGAGTGAAACCATTAAGAATGGGAATGGAAGCCTTATTCCCTTTCCGGATACAATCTGGCAAATTGAAATGAGGCGAAATAGAAATAGAAATTGGGATCCAAAATTGCTGCATTCGTGCATTTTCATTACCATTGGGGGAGGTGAGAATGAGTGAGTTGGGAATTGGGTTACCAAAAAGGCTAGCACACGAGCGACTTTCTAATTAATCTTAGGTCTTGATAACTTTTCTACAGAAACAATTTGATATGGTAAGTAGAATTACCTAAGTTGCTATTATACAAACAATAAAATTCAAACCAGAAAAGGACATTTTTCCATTCCGATGTGCTAACAAATGCAGTAAGTTTAATTAATTAGTAGTCATTCCAGTTCCTTGGTAATTCGTTCCGATTTCTTTTATCTTATTTCAATAGCCTCATTCATATGCGCCATCCGAGGGCATCATAACCTATACCCTTTCCAATGTGTTTCTGTCTCATTACAAACTAGCAAAACAGAGAAGAGAGGCGTTACGGAGCCTAGCCATGGAAGGACCGTTACTTCTAGCTCAACGGACTCACACAAGACATGGCATGGCCTTCACTTCTCCATTACTCTTCTTTTGTCCTTTTTTTCTCATTTTCAGCTTCATGAAAGCTCAGTTATGACCAACCTTTACCGGTGCAACCGCTATATAGACCCCTTTTGGGTTCACTCACGGTATCCACACACCTTTCATACAGATTCTCTCCCTATAGACTCTCTCTGCTTTTGCTTGTTTGTGAAGTTTTTCAGGTTATTTGTGTGAGAGTAATGGCTGCAGAGAGGGATGAGCTTCTTGAGGAGCTTTATCAACTCATCTTCTCCTTGGAGGAAGAAGTATCCCATTACCCATCCTTCTTTTAATATTTTGCTTCTGAAAACTAAATGAAGTTGTTTATTTAATAATTCAAGATTGAAAGGGACTACGTTTTCATGGTTTGAATAAATTTGTAGGGAAAAGCGTAGAATTTTTCCGTTCCTCAAAGGTTTGATAATGTTTTACTAGTTCCAATCTGAGACAATGGAGGCCCTTGAATGGAAACGAGCGTTTGGTTATCACTGACAGTGGATGGATTGAACCTGATTGGTGAAAGTTTTAGCAACTTTCATTGTGAAATAGTCTGCTAAAATGTTCACCACAAAGTCCATCTAAACCTTGTTGTGTCAAATAGGTTCGCTGAATTCTAAGATAATCTTTTGTTAGGACCTGCTGGACACCCAATTCATGAATAATTATGCTCTGAAACCGGCTCATGACTCCACGTTTATCCTGGAGTTGGTCGAAACGTTCTGCGAAGAAGTTCAAGATGCAGTGAGCGATCTGGGTTCTGCTTTGTAATTTTCTGTTTCATTTCTAATGATGTGACTTCTATCTCACTTGCTCTCGTGCTTCTTTTAACCCTTTTTTTCTGATTTCTTTAATAGGGAAGACCCTTTTGTAAGCTATGCGGGTATATATGCTCAGTATATAAAGCTTAAAGGAATTATAGAGTGGTAAGACAACAGTAAACCTGTTCACGTGGCCATGCTTCAATTTCATGATTGTTCTTTCGCTTATGTATGATTACAGAAGAGACTGTGCATGGCCGATTTAAGATTTTTTGCAGCTGTGACGCATATTGGTCATAGAGGGTGTTTCCGTGAAAAAAATTGGAGGCTGATTACTTAGACTGTCCTCTTTATAATTTTGTTCATGGTCTGTTTACCTTTATATGATTTTTTTTTTTGGTAAGGTAAGAGGATTATATACTTTTCAATGCACAATATACAGCAGAAAAGCCGTACACAAAAACCTCGTACCTAATGCAACACAGGTGTTGCGATAGGTGCAAAGGTGTAGCGGTTGACTGAAGCTAGCGGGCGCTACAAGCAGCAGGGGCCCGAGTGTTAAGAAAAACGAGCTGAGCCTCTAACAAGCGGACTAAAGAGCCACAAAGGAACAACAACTACAGAACATTAAGAAAAATAGATGTCGGGATGTCCCAGCTGGCCTGGATTCTTCTATTGCACGGAGTATCTGCAACAGGCTTGAGAGAAAGAGCCTTATCTCGAACAGCTTTGACAAGATGGTTCCGCATCGCATGATGTTGATGGATGTTATAATTGCATTTTCAAACTTCTACCAAACTTTTAGCCAAAATTGACACATCTTAATAAGGTCTATAGTAGAGAATCTGCATGATGAATGGCATTTTAAGGTAAGACCTTTTGCGGCTGTAACACATATAAGTGACACATGGTGTTTCAGTGAGAAAACAGGAGGCTGATTACTTAGATTGCTGTCTTTATACTTTGTCGTCGTATGAGAAACATTTTATGACGTTGATTGTCAGGAAACAGTTATTTTTGCGATTTCAAACTTCCAGCAGACTTTTAGTCAAGATCAACACATCTTAATTAGGTATATAGTAGAGAATATGCATGGTGAGTTGCACTTTAAGGTAAGACCTTTTGCGACTGTAACGTATATAAGTGACGCATGGTGTTTCCATGAGAAAATAGGAGGCTGACTACTTAGATTGCTGTCTTTATGCTTTTGTCGCCGTATGATTACCATTTTATGATGTTGATTGTCGGGAAACCATTATTTTTTCGTTTTCATACTTCAGACGTACTTTTCATTCAAGGTCGAGACATCTTGGATTTATTCAAGTCTCGATTTAGGGATCGCAAAGGTTACCTTTTCGTATGTTTCAAGTCGTTACCATTACATGTTACATGGCCTATCTATGAGAAAGTTGGTTAGTAGTCATTTTTGACAGCTGATTTTCCTTTCTGTATCGGATATTTATTTCTATGATATTGGAAGGTGTCCGCTTTGCACATTCCAAGCAGCATATTTTCCTCAAAATACCATGATTGAATCTCTAAAGAGTTAGTTGCAGATAAAGAATACTACAGTTACCTACCTTATATATGAAAAACTATTTCCATATTGGAGTTAAGCTAGATCATCTGTTTATTGGTTTTCATGCATAATTTTATAATGATTTAGTGTTAGATAATCTCACCATGCTTGAATCTCATTTGTCTCTATATATTTCAGAGTCTCGAAGTGTTATTATTAAGAGATCAAAGGAAGCACATGCTGCTGTATTATACCATCTCTGGTTTATTTCTTCAAATTTTCTGCTTGAGTTGTCCAAAGCATTGGATTAACGTCGTACTGTCATAGCATATCCGTAAATCTTCTCATAGTATCCTACTCCGTCATATTACTGTGATAGGTAACGATAGTAATAAGATCATTAATTAACTTCACCCCGGCCACTAATTATTCTAAACGGGCGTTCCAGTTTTGGTGCTTCAGCGATGAGGCTTGGGCTCGAAGAACTCCTCCGCAGTATTTTAGGTGCCTCCAGGGAAGAGTAAGTGGTTGCTTTTATTCTACGAGCAAAAGAAAGATTATAGTTTGACTAATAGACAAGGTAAAGACAATACAGTCAGATTACATGACTCATCAATCCCCGTGGAAGCGCTACTGTGGGTTACAACGACATCGGGTGAAGTTTAATGAATTGACTGGATTAGTCCCTAGCGATGCTCATTATGCAGGTGCATCTTGGCACATCTTCATTTGCATCAGGGGTACGAGAACCTGCGTCTGCACTTGGGGGTCATCACCAGGGTAACATGAAACTATTTTTAATTTGGTTGATGCATGAACTTGTTAATGCATTGCAATCTTTCGACCAAAAAAAATGCATTGCAATCTGCCATTTATTCTTACTTGGAGAACTCTGGTATGCAGCTCGAGTGCAGGATTATCTACCTTGAGTGTACCCTCGTAGGAGATTCCGATGACGATGAGTCAAACCGGATGATCGGTGTCTCATCAAGGCCCCCCGTCCCTATGTCATGAAGTAAACTCCATTTTGGAGAAGTTTAAGAGTCCAATAGATATTATATTGTCCTCGTATCGGGTCTGAGCATCTGAACTTGCTCTAGTTTTGTTGTTCTGTTGTTATGTGTCAGAGCATCCATACTTGCTCTTTGTATAACTAATGTCATAGTTTTGTGCCTTGAGTGGCTGAACTTCTCTTTGTTGTTGTTGCTATCCTTATATTAATAGGACCCTATGGTCCAATTTCTTGAAATTGCTTTATTACTGCATGTCTTACAATGTTCTACGCATGCATTAACTTCATTATGATGTAAAACTATGCTGAAACTAAAGCTTCGGTTGCTGTTCTGCACAAGCTTTCTAGTTTTTTGCTTTTTTCGCATTTATGAAATTCTGTGTTTTGCATTGTTTCACTATCTAAACTTTTATGTTGTTCATTACTTTGGGTCTCATGCTTGTACGTGGGGTTTCAAACCGGAAAATTTCTGCACGGAAGCTGTTAGTTTTCTTCTCATTGAAAATTTAAAGATGTGTATATTTATCATATTTTGCTCCAGTCATGTCTAGATCACGAAAATGCATATGGAGATTGTTTTCTTCATCTGCGTGGATCTTATAAATGCTCCTTATTCTGTTGTTCGCTTGGCCCGATTTTCGTATTTTTTTTTGCAATTTTTTACTTCTGTTATAAAGGATGTCGCTTATCCTAAAGCAACTCCTACTTGTACACCATGGCAAGTAATCATTTATGCAGATAGAGGGGCGAATTGTATATCAGTGGACAGTTGAATAATCCATTTTTTCAGGAAGACATGAGGATGAGGCCTAAATGTCATAGATGGCATTGCACTGCAACAAGTTGGTTTTTTGATAATTTTGATTCTGTTTCTTGTACAGTAGTACATCACATTTCTACTATCAGCTCAGGGTTAGGAGCTCAAAAGCTGTTAAGATCAAATCAATCTACGTAAAATCTTAATGAGAACTATGTAAAAATTTAGATAAAACTATCAATCGTTTAAGAAAGCTTTGTCTATCAAAAAATTAATCCTTGATTTCTGAAAGGCAATAGTACTTCACCAGAATAAAACACGATTTTGATGAACAAAGAATGTGCACAGAAATAGTATAACTTTGAAAGAAATGATTTGGTAATATCCTAGATCCTTGAACGAGAGTAATTTGCGTAACATAGAAGGCACACTCCAACAGAAAACTCTTCCATGCCCTCAGCCTCAATAGGCTGATTGATCTAGGCCCGTCCACGGTAAAATGAGCCGTCTCAGTCATTAGATTTGTGAGCCTAATTACTTAGAACACATCATTTCTGATGGCTCACATCATCCGATCCATCATGAATTGAGATAAGGCAAGATATTCTCCACTTCAATTCCGTGTGCATGTACTACAAACAACAAAAAGAAGAGAAGGTTTTTCGTGTATCGATTCTATCACCTGGTAATGACATGTAAAATCAAAGAGAAACACACAAAGTTGGCTAGAGTCCATATGATGCGGGCATCGCGTAATTGATTCGTTACTCCATGTTAGCGTTGCCAATAGACACAAACGAAAATTTCTCTCCATGCCCCATTTGATGTTAGAAAAAATACCTATCCAATGTGTTTCCCTCTCATAACCAGCTTAAAAACAGAGAAGACAGAGGCGTTACCATCAGTCCAACAAACTCCCAGAAAGCATGGCATGGCCTTCTTCTTGCTGACTCTTCTTTTGTCCCTTTTCTCATTTTTGTCTTCGTGCAAGCTCATTTATGAACCATGCCAGTGCAACCGTCCGTAAAACCTTCTTGAGTTCAATGACGCAATCCACACACCACTCGTATATGTGACATCCTGAAAAAAAATTAGTCCATTTGGGATTTATGAAATATTGAGTTTTATGAATGTACTCGTAATCAGTTCTCGCCCGGAACTGATCATTCCTGGGAATGCTAACCATTAGGGAAAAGCTAATAGGGGAAATTAAATTAGCGCGACTAAAGGAAATTCGATCGTGAATGGATTTCGACCATTAAATCGCGGAAGTGATATTTTGAGCCACTGTTGGCCGATCCAAGGATAGTTAGGGGTCAGTTCGCCACTGTCCTAGTAGTGGATCGCGGGTGATTCCGTTGGACCACGAAACGACTTGACGAATGATTCTGAAATTATACCGAACGATCGTACCCCTCGGATCAAGTGATTGATCTTCGCGATTTTAATAACAACCGAGGTCGTCACGCACCGAACGGACTTGCACGTGACTCGATTTAGTATCAGTCATGAGTCAATTTCGCGAATTTCCCCAGCAAGCCGCCCGTTAGCTCGAGAAACGCTCGAGTTGCGTTTAATAGAATTTAATTATTGAAATTTTGCCCAAATTGGACACCGAAAAATTAGGAAGTCACGACGAAACGTTAGGACGACGTTGCACGTGACACATGCGAATTTTTGGTGCGCTCAAATCCTTCGGAAAAATTCGATTTGGACAAGAAACGGAGAACGTGACCAAAATACCCCTAGGATTTATTAAAGGACAAGCTTTAAGGGTAAAGGGCATTTTGGTAATTTTTGCCCTCAAATTTTGATTGGACAATTTTACCCTTGGATATTTTGGAAATTACAAGTATGCCCTTGGATATTTTTGTGCAAGAATCGATCTCGGCCGTCGGATTAAGATAAAATCGAATCGGGACCGTCGGATAAAAAATGTGAGAAATGGGCATTTTGGTAAATTGCCAAAAAGTGGTCAAATTGGACATATTATCTTTGACCCATTCCTTCTCTCTCCTCCATTTCTCTTCCCCTTTCTGCCGTGAGCATCCCCCCTTTTTGCCGTGAAATCCTTCCCCCTCCTCCGTGAGCTCCTTGCCGTCCACCGGGAAGCCCACCGCCGGCGCCGCCGCTCGCCACCGCCGGCGCCGCCGCTAGCCACCGCCGTCCGGGCCGCCCTCAAGCCGCCGTACCAGCCCTCAAGCCACCACCACCAACCGCCATCTCTCTCTTTCTCTCCCTCTCTCTCTCACGTGAGGCAAGACCCACGGCCAAGTAAGCCGTGCCGTCGCCACCCAAGCCGATCGCCGCCACCCGGGAGCCTTACGTCGTCGCCGCCGTTCCCGATTAAGGGCCGCCGCTTTCCGTTCTAGCCGCGATAGTCTAGAACGCGGGTAAGTCGCGCTCTAAACTTAATTTAGGACTTCGGGTATCGACGGGCGATTTTGGACGAAATCTGTATAAAGTTAGGTGCGGAATTGTATGAATTGGTAGTGGAAATTTTATGGCGGGCCTTGGGATTTAATTCGGGTATTAATTATTGAAAATTAGAAAATAACAGTGGCTGTGATCTACTGTTCATGGGGCCGTGATGGGCCGATCGGGACGCAAGTTGGATTTTTAGAACCAAGAAATTATGGTGAAAAAGTCCCGTGAAGGACCGAAATCGATTTGACGTCGTTTGGTGGAAGAAAAATAATGATTTCGGTATTAATGGACTAGTGTTCGGCAAATTTTGGGGTTTGTTTCATGGACGAATTTATCGAGTTCATCTTGGGTGAAATTATGGTTGGAATTATGATGGTTTGGGGGTTATTTAGAGAGTCAATAAGGGCTGCCTACGAGAAGTATACATGCTGAAATTTGTGGTTCGGAATAATGTGTTTATGGCTTGATTTGTGGTGTATATGTGTCGGATTGTTGTGTGATATCGTGGCTGAATTGTGAGGGTCCTTGTGACTGAAATTACTCGCGATTGTGATGGTTATATGTATGTTTATAAGCTGCGAATTACTGTTCACAAGCTGTGATTTACTGTTCACGGGGCTATGATGATTTGTTTCGGGACACAAGTTGGGTTTTTAGAACCGGCATTTAATGGCGAGAAAGTGTCGTGAAGGATCGGAATTGATCCGACGCCATCTGGTTAGAGAAAATTGGCAATTTACGTGTTTTAGGCATGTTTGGAATTATTCTGGATGGAGTTGATTTAATTGGGTGCTTAGTTGTGTAATTATATAATAGAATTATGCATGTTTGGTGCACGCGTGGGCCAGATTGAATTAATTGTTGACAGTGGCCATGTGAATTGCTGAGTGAGCGTGTTTTATGTGTGAAGTGATGCGTGCACGGGCCACGTGTGATGGGTCAGTTGCGTGTAGTAAATGCATGTAGAGCGTGTGCATGAGTAAAAAGGAATCGTGGTGTGGTAAGTGATTGTGGGAAAGTATGTGAAAGGGGTGAAAGTGCGGGGTTGGGATCGGGTCGAGTACCATAAGCTCGGGCAGCGATCACGTAGGTCTGTTGCATTTGGCACAGGCTGAGGCTTGAAAAAGTAAGTATGAGATTTGGTCCGAGGCATGATAAGCTCGGGTGAGATCGGGATTGGACCGAGGCATCATAAGCTCGGGTTTCGATCATGTAGGCCTGTCGCATTTGGCGCGGGCTGAGGAAAGTGTGAATGTGGGATCGGACCGAGGCGTGTGATGCTCGGGGCGCGATCGAGTGGGAATGTGGGATCGGACCGAGGCGTGTGATGCTCGGGGCGCGATCTATAGGCCTGAGGCGTGTACGGGTACGCGGGCCGAAAGTGTGGTGATGAATGGTCGCAGTGTACCTGAGGCGTGTACTTCAACGCGGGTCACTGGCGAGGAATGAGAAAGAGGAAATGAGAATGGAAGGAATAGTTGAATGAGAATTGGTACATGCGTGTGTTGCATACGGTGTGATTGTGATTGAGTACGGGTGTACGCATGTTTGAGTTTGACTATATTATTTGAGGTGCCTGCGATGTGATGACTTGATGTGTACGAATGCACATGTGTCTGTGTGATTGTCTGGAGGTACGTGATAGTCTAGGTGGGGTTTAGGGGTGTACTTATTGAGAAGTGTCTCACGGTTGTTTCAACCAAACCATTTCAGAGCCCCCGCCTGAGCCATGATCATATTGAGGCTGACTCGGAGCCGTCGGGTGAACAGACAGCTGAGGAGGATTCATGTGGTGATGCCGAAGACAGTGAGTCAGAGTGGACGCCTCCGAGAAGGCGTAGGGACTAGTTCTGGGAGCGAGGCAATAAATTGAGAGGGCCCAATTTTTGGATAATGCTGATCTAGGATGCTGATCCTTTTTGTATTTTGGAAGTTAATAATTACTGGTTCGGTGTGCTTGTAATAATAATGGATATTGTAAATATTATGGTGTAAGTTTGGCAATGAGAACGAATATGTTCATTCTCCCTGATTGATTCCCCAGTTTTAATTGTCCGGGATTATTTGTTAGTATCCGCTCGTGGTTGTAAATCTCTGATGGTTATTTGAGGTCGGCGACATTCCTGGGACGTCGCACTTATCGACCAGGTAAGGGGTGTCGCGTGCCCGTTGGGGTTCGGGGCGTGACATCCCTGTATGAATTGGTATCAGAGCAAGGTCAGCTCGATCTAAAGTTGGTTGAATTGGAGTGATAAGGAGCGGAAACCTTGGGGTAGTAATTGGGGAGATCTCAGTGGGTGTAGGGTAGTGTGAGCTACACGTGCCTCCAGATTGTTTGTTGTGATTGTTTGTGTAAGTCAATTGTGTGTGGTAATTGAATTGCAGGCGCGTCTGGACTTGAGGTAAGTGTTCAGACTTTGATGATGGTGATTTCGTGATGGGTAGTGGGGAAATGCTTGCTGAGCGAGCTTTCGTGTTAATTTGCTGCTTAGAATTTGATTGAGCTAGTTGGTTTAGACCGTAAATTCCTGAGTGGAATTACAGGTAGGAGAGTGGTAGAATTGCAACAATGAGCAGTAAATGAAGAGGTGTAGGAAGAGTCCCAAAAAGGGGCGCTGGAAGAGAAACGAGAGGTTGAGGTCGTGCTCGAGCTAGGGCCGTTGAGGACCTCGGAATGGGTGCTAGAGCAGTAGAGAATCCATGAGTAGATGTTGGAGCTGCAGTGGACCCTAGAGTGGAAGTTAGACCTGTTGAGGATCCTCGAATGGAAGTCGTTATTAGGACGTTGGAACGGATCGGAAATTTGTTGGAACGGCAGACTCAGGAGTGAGCTGCTCCGGTTGCCCAAGCCGTCGAGGCTGTTGCTGTTGCTAATGAGAACCAAGGTCAGGGGCAAGTGGTTGCCAATAGACCTATGCATCAACTGGTAGAGTAGTTCATCAAGCTTAAACCGCTTAAGTTTGCTGGGAAAGGTGACCCTGAGGCTGCACCTCGATGGGTAGAGGAACTTGAGAAGGCTTTTGAGGTGCTAGAGTGTACTGATCATGAGAAAGTAACGCTGGCGGTTTACCAGTTGCAGGATAACGCGAGCGATTGGTGGAAGGCCACCAAAGATCGGGTTTTTCCGGAAGGTACAGCTCGGACTTGGGCTGTTTTTACTGAAAAGTTTTATGAAAAATATTTCTCGGCAAGTGCTAGGGAGAAGAAACTAGCAGAGTTTATGAGACTCCGCCAGGGTCAGATGACTGTGGAACGATATGAAACGGAGTCCATTTAACTGGTTGAGAATCCACGGGACAAGGTTCAGAAATCTCGACACGGACTGAAGTCGGATCTCTGAAACCTAATGATTTCACTGAACATCAGCAATGATGGGGAAGTATATGAATGAGCTCAAGTGATAGAGCGAGATCAGTTGGAAAGTGCAACTACTTCCGGATAGTGATTTGCTCAAATTAAGGATAATCGCCGCCTCGAGAAGAGGCAAATGGCGGGGAAACAGGCGATTCGTCCCACCGGTTAGAAAGGAAATTAGAAAGCCGAATCGTCAAACGAGCCGTTTTGAGGCTTGCATCGAAAGTGGGAGTCGGAACAACTAGTTAAATTGGATGGGATTGAGTCTGTTGTGCTTGAGTCACGTTTGGTGTGACGATTCCTCGATTGATAAGGTGATGGTGTCATTAAAGTATCTTAACTGTGAGATAGTAATCGAGAGTAGAGAAAAGAGTGTCAACTTGACAATGTCGGTCAGGTGCGATTTTGAGTGGGGAATTGAAATGGATTGGCTAATAAGACAGAAGGCCGTTATGGACTGCGACTAAAGGACGATCCAGTTCAACCCAGTTGAACGTCTTAGGTTTGATCTTCAGGAAAATCGAGGAGGAATCTCGATTCCTTGAATGCCCTCATTTGAGGTGACTAGATATCCGATGATAGTTGTGAAGGACACGAGGTGAATGTGGTTGACTCGACCGTGACGGAATTAAAGTTGAAAGAGTAAACGAGGTGTGTAACCTTTCGAGGTCTTTCCTCAGGAATTGCCGGGTTGCCACTAGAACGGGAAGTGGAATTGTGAAACGATTGGCCCCGGGATGAAGCTGATTTCGAGGGCGCGGTGTTAAATGTTCTTGTTGAAAGTTTAAGGAATTGAAAGTCCAAATGTACGAACTCGTGGATAAAACTTTATCCGCCCTAGTGTGTCTCCATGGAGAGTTCCTGTATTTAGTATGAGGAAAAATGACAGGACATTGAGATGGTACGTAAATTACCTGCAGCAGGACCAGGCGACAAAAAGGAATGAGTACCCATTACCAAGGATCGATAGCCTATTCGATTGATTGCAAGGAACTTTAGTGTCCTCTAAGGTTGAATTATGAACGGATGTCACCGGTAAGGAATTCAGAAAGAGAATGTTCCTAAGATTGTGTTACGGATTGGAAATTTTCCGTTAAGGACATGAAAAGAGGATGTAATTACAACTACTTAACAGACGAGGTATGGGCACTAGACATTCATAGTAATGCCCATTGAGCTAAGGGATGTCTCGCTGCTTCTGTAGACCTAATGAACCGAATGTTCCAAGAATTATGGGATTAGTTCATAACGATCTTCGTTGATGATGTATTGGGCGACTCGAAGAGCCTGGTCCGACTGAAGTGCTGCGAATCTTGAGAGAACACGCACTCTACGCCAAGTATGGCAAGTGCGAATTTTGGCTCAATAAAACAATATTCCCTGGACATATAATCTAGGGGAAATGGAATTACAGTGAACCCGACTAAGGTTGAGGTGATGACTAAGTGGCCAAGATTAATGCCAATAGCAGAGGTTGGCAGTGTCTTAGATTTGGCTGATGATTATCGATGTTTTGTGGAAGATTTTCGTCGATAGCCGTGCTATGGGCACGACTGATTGAGAAGGAAATCCGTTTGAATGGAAATGTGACATGATCCCAAGGATGTTGTAGTAGGATCAAAGGGGAGCCGGAGAAAACCCGATTCCATCAGAATAGCAGTTGATAAACTGACTAAGTCAGTGCGCTTTCTGACATTGTGAACGGACTTTGAGTCGGATAGATAAGTAGAGTCGTCAGAAAGGTCACCCGATCGGAGACGACGACTTTTAGAGCTTGAGATTGGGAACTAAGTGGCAGCACAAGTGTTCCTCAATGGAAAGATTATCCTAATTTGACAGAAAAGGGAAGTTGAGCCGAGGCATGTCAAATTATTCGATATTCGGGAAAAGATCGGAGATATGATCTAACAAATTGCCCCGTTGCCTAATCTGTCCTAAATATATGATGTATCTCACGTGACAACGTTGAAGAAGTATGAGCCAAATATGACCCACGTTAAGGGGAAACAGACGTGGACGATAAAGTGTCGTACGTGGAAAGGGCCGATGAAGCTTGAGGACAGAAAGGATCATGGGCCGCATAATAAGTCAGTCCTAGTGATCCAAGTGTATGGGAGCACCGAAGGACAAAATGTGCCGTTTGGGAAAGCGAAAAAATGATGCAACGTCAATACCCCCAGCCGTTTGAGCAGTAGTAAGATTGTAAATCTTGAGTAGTGGTGGGATTTGTAAATTTCGAGGACGAAATTTTTATAAGGGAGGAAGATTGTGATATCCTGAAAAAAAATTAGTCAATTTGGGATTTATGAAATACTGGATTTTATGAATATACTCGTAGTTAGTTCTCGCCCGGAACTGATCATTCCTAGGAATGCTAACCATTAGGGAAAGGATAATAGGGGAAATTAAATTCGCACGACTAAAGGAAATTCGATCGTGAATGGATTTCGACCATTAAATCGCGGAAGTGATATTTTGAGCCACATTTGGCCGATCCAAGGATAGTTAGGGGTCAGTTCGCCACTGTCCTAGTAGTGGATCGCGGGTGATTTCGTTGGACCACGAAACGACTTGACGAATGATTCTGAAATTATACCGAACGATCGTACCCCTCGGATCAAGTGATTGATCTTCGCGATTTTAATGACAACCGAGGTCGTCACGCACCGAACGGACTTGCACGTGACTCGATTTAGTATCAGTCATGAGTCGATTTCGCGAATTTCCCCAGCAAGCCGCCCGTTAGCTCGAGAAACGCTCGAGTTGCGTTTAATAGAATTTAATTATTGAAATTTTGCCCAAATTGGACACCGGAAAATTAGGAAGTCACGAAGGAACGTTAGGACGACGTTGCACGTGACACGTGCGAATTTTTGGTGCGCTCAAATCCTTCGGAAAAATTCGATTTGGACAAGAAACGGAGAAAGTGACCAAAATACCCCTAGGATTTATTAAAGGACAAGCTTTAAGGGTAAAGGGTATTTTGGTAATTTTTGCCCTCAAATTTTGATTGGACAATTTTACCCTTGGATATTTTGGAAATTACAAGTATGCCCTTGGATATTTTTGTGCAAGAATCGATCTCGGCCATCGGATCAAGATAAGATCGAATCGGGACCGTTGGATAAAAAATGTGAGAAATGGGCATTTTGGTAAATTGCCAAAAAGTGGTCAAATTGGACATATTATCTTTGACCCATTCCTTCTCTCTCCTCCATTTCTCTTCCCCTTTCTGCCGTGAGCATCCCCCCTTTTTGCCGTGAAATCCTTCCCCCTCCTCCGTGAGCTCCTTGCCGTCCACCGGGAAGCCCACCGCCGGCGCCGCCGCTCGCCACCACCGTCCGGGCCGCCCTCAAGCCGCCATACCAGCCCTCAAGCCACCACCACCAACCGCCGTCTCTCTCTTTCTCTCCCTCTCTCTCTCACGTGAGGCAAGACCCACGGCCAAGTAAGCCGCGCCGTCGCCACCCAAGCCGATCGCCGCCACCCGGGAGCCTTACGTCGTCGCCGCCGTTCCCGATTAAGGGCCGCCGCTTTCCGTTCTAGCCGCGATAGTCTAGAACGCGGGTAAGTCACGCTCTAAACCCAATTTAGGACTTCGGGTATCGACGGGCGATTTTGGGCGAAATTTGTATAAAGTTAGGTGCGGAATCGTATGAATTGGTAGTGGAA